ATCCTAATGAACACATAGAAAAATACTAAATTAGTGACGGGAATTACGGCTTTGCGACCACGAAAGATGTCTCTGTTACTTTCCATGTGACGCTAATAGTTATTTGTTTGTAAAAAGATGAAGTATGATATTCCACCCTAGTCAAAAACCGCCAAACTGACAAATATGTGGAATAAGTACATTATTTAAAACACAAAATGTCCGCTTCCCGCCGATTCCTCGCATTTTCTGAACCCTTAACTGTGGATCTAGGTCTGATGAAGCAATAATTAACCTGTACTTTTGATCAGTGTGTATTTTTGGAGATAACGGGCTTTCAAAGAAATGCGCTTTGAGTCAAATGGGCAATTGTTCTGACTTATGAGCCTTTGGACCAATGGCATTGAACCTTTGCAATAGGGTCATATCTGAAAGTGATTGTCAGATGTCAGAGATTCTCCCAAGAACAACATTTGATGGCAGATTTGTTTCGTGTCTACCAACCATCAATCAGCCACATTTGCTTTAAGTGGAGGTGCTCAGACGTCAGCGGTGGAAACTGTTGTTGTAGTGAGAGGCTCCCAGATGGAAATGGGTGTAACCAAATGTGGGTGTTGCTGAGAAAGAGGTGACATATCTCAGTCACTTTTCCCAAGGATAGTAGGATCCGTCAATACGTCTGGAAGAGTATTCGTTTCAAAGAGACCAGGAAAGCTTTAAATATAATTTCACCAGATATATGATGGTGATGTGCTATAGGAAGGAAAACAGATGCCAAATTAACCATTAAATAATGTTAAAATACTCTTCTCCTCAGTTTTGACCCACTAAATATCGAATTCCTGTCGTCAGAATGAGTAAATCCTTCACAATGCTCTCCACCTCATGAACCAAACGTCCTCTCATCTGGTTTATGCGTTCCTGATGAGATGTCTGATGATGAGGGTTTCCGTTGAAAGAGCTGTTGAATTTCTCCCTTGTGTGTTAGCAGCCTCCCCCCGGGGCGACCTCCCACTCTGAACAATGTTGACACGTTATGAGCTCGCTGTGTAACTCTCCCACTTCCTTTGATTCCCTGTAAGAGCAAGTGTGTGTGCACGTATGAAAACACACCCCCATTTGGCGTATTTAACTCTTATTCTCTTATGACTGCTCCCTTTCACTGACATCCCCTCAATTAGTGTCCTCTGCCTTTTTGACTCCCTCAGAAAGTGGGAATTCTTTGGCTGACAGCCTCCTTAAAATGAGCAATTATCACTGTTTTCATTTTTAAATATCGACCATCTTGGTCAGGATATAATTATAATTAGGATATCCTTTTCCCACTTGCCAGTAATAAGTCACATTTGATGATTTCCCATGTTTTTCCACGCCAGACGTTGATGTTCGTAGTGAAGCCATGGGTGATGGATTTCAGGCGCTTCTCAAAAACAACATGGTGCACATTTTAATCGTGGCGGTCCACTTTACACATTAGCACAATCAATTTAATTGGGATAATTGCCGAGCGAGACGTGACATCAAAGACCGAGGTGAACGACCCAAGGCATGCTATCTCCCAGCATGCATTTCTCCCTTACGTCCAGTGGCTGCAGTGGAACATTTGACGCGTTTACAATGAGAGGGACGCATGCCAAACCTCATCACTGTGCACATTTGTCCATGTGCTGTTTTCATGTCACGTTGGGGGTCATGGAGCTTGAGTATGTGACTTTTTTTATCCACAATGTGTGCCCGAGATGCCGCTTTAATGGTTTTAGAAGCCAGATTCTCATGTGTCACGTTCTCCGAGCTCTCATCACGTTGAAGACGAGGTTAAACCACTCGTTGAGTTCCAGTTTCTGAATAATGCTGTTCTTTGTAAACGGGTACAATGCACAGTACCATTAACACAGCATGAGGGCGGGAAAATTGTCACACCCTGAATGAGCGTCCAAAGTTTGTCTGTGACATTTTGTGAGTTTCAAGGCTCAATGAGTGGGATTTTCCTTCAAATAAAAACGATTTATACAAAAATAATCCCTCTCAATCATCACTGTCTGAATCTGTGGAGACACTTCAGATTGTTTTATAACTTTCCTTTTCATTTTGCTTTGACGTTTCTGGGCCACAAACTCTTATAAAACATAGGGAACAGGTAGAAGGCATGCAAAAGGTCACACAATGAGAGTAATCCACCAAAAAAAGCTTACAACCCACAACTAACAAATGTCATCGTTGTGCCTTACAGTGCAGACCAGAGTCAAAGCTTTTTAAAGAATAATATAATAATACATTATGTATTAATGCAGCAATTGCGAAATTAGCACAACTTGTACATTTAAATGCCAATAAATAAACTCAAAATATAGTTACGGTTAATATAGCATAGATCGATTGATGTCATGGTGTCGTTATCAAAGGTAGACAGAGATTAGGTTCATAGAAATAGAGAGAATCATTCCCAGTAAACTGTGATGAAATGACTTTAAAAGCCTTAAAGCAGGCACTGGATGGCTGTGAATAGCATCCGCCAGAAACAGCAGATATTCTCTAATATCCTAACAAAATAAAAACAATGATATCCTTCCTTTTGTTGCCGTCTCACAACACCTGGCCTCGCTAACAGTGGCTTAAATCCAGCATATTCAATAGTGAAGTCCACCGTGATGTTAATGAAATGTTCCCTTGTGTTTGCAGTCACGCACTTACAAGGTTTTAAAAACACAATGCGAGTGCAAACCATCACATTTGCACGGTGTGTATGCTAAATTCAGGGTGAAAATGGCCATGCACATCCTCAGATTTAAACATGTATTAAACATGAGGCAGGTCTTGCATACTGAATGCCTGGCTGACTCCAGAGGAAGGTGTTGGTAGATTAGATCCATAACTCTCTCTCGCTGCAGATACTCCACATGTGGTTGCATTACTCTTTTTTTTTTGTGCCTAACCTCAGCCACCCTTTGGTTAGGAAGCAATTGAAGGCAGCAGGAAGACGGCGATGTCAGCAGACAAGACAGGAAGAGAAGAATCCATCAGGAAGAGAAGAATCCATCTTTCAGTCGTCACTCATCACCACGTGTCGCTCAGTGACCGGAGCAGAGGCTGTCACCCCATCATGATAAACAGAGGCCAGAGTACGGGGGTGCGTGTCCGTCAGGGCCACCCCACACACACACACACACACACACACACACACACACACACACACACACACACACACACACACACACACACACACACACACACACACACACACACACACACACACACACACACACACACACACACACACACACACACGTGCCGACTCCACTGGCATAATTAGAAACATTTGGGATCATTTGCAGAGGGAACACGAGCTCTGATGGGATCCAGATGCACTACTGGGTTTCACCGAAATACAGGAACCCTTATTTACGAGGGGCCATTACTGGCTCCTCACCCAGGGAGGTGTGTGTGTGTGTGTGTGTGTGTGTGTGTGTGTGTGTGTGTGTGTGTGTGTGTGTGTGTGTGTGTGTGTGTGTGTGTGTGTGTGTGTGTGTGTGTGTGTGTGTGTGTTAATGATTGTTTGTTGCAGGATCATCACTATTCAGGTCAGATTGAGTTTAATGGCTTTAGTTTTTTTGAGAGAATGTGTTTTTTGTTGTTGTGTTGATTGTGAGCTTAAATAACTTCATACATTAAAGAAGTTGCCAACGAAGACAAGCTTGAATTCCTTTTATTGGACAGCATTTGGTCCTTTCAGGATATGCAACATGTTCTCCATACAAGTGGACTTTTTGTGTCTTAAGACGACTTTTACGTTCAATATGTCTGACACAGTTTAATTCAAACGTCTTCTTCTTTTGTTGTCAACAAAAAGCCTCTTTTGGATTTCCTGTGGAGACGGAAAACAAACACACGTTTAGTTTCTTATTTGAGAAGTGAGACTCAGAAAAAGAAAGTACAACAGTGTAGACATGTACTTCACATAATGGGACAGAGAACGCAGAAAGTGAATTTAAAAAAACAAGAGATTTTGATAAATAAACTTCAATAATATACAATTTTAATACAAAACAACATGTTTTTTCTTCCTTATAGAGTAAATCATAAAATGTGACAGTTTTATTATTTGTATATAAGTGTTTAATAGTTTTAAAGTCTTAACAAATTCTTCAATTTCCCATAAAACATCCAGTAAAATTGGATGTTACTGTCGTCTTTTTGCCATTTATAAATGTAAAATGTTGCATATAACCATTATGTTAATTACATGCACTGACGATGACTGCAATAACGGTTTGAAAAGCAAAGAGGAGTGTTGCAGCTTCTAGCACTATGCTGCCCCCTTGTGGCTGGGATATAAACTTTAATGTTGCACGTATTAGATTAAAAGTGCTTCTTTTGGATATATTTTTTGATAGGAGATGACAGATTGGTGAGCATCATGTAACATTCCCATAAAATCGTCACACTCTCATGATCCAGTTACTTACATTTTTATTTAACTGTTGCTTCCAAAAATCCATCCACATACAGCGTCTGACTTTTCCCACTGTTCCTTCAGTATGCCTGGAAAATGAAAAATGAAAAATGAAAAATGACAAATAAACAAATAACTTCTTTGTTACAGAGGCACTTTTTTAAACGTAGAAACCTAAACTTTTTTCCGCTTTTAGGCCACAAGCGTCACTCATACATGTTTTCTTTAAGATGTGTTAAACAGTTCTCCATGCACTCTAATACCCCTGTTAATTTGTTGTGTGTAACAAAGGTATATTCAATTAATGTATAAACATGATCATGGCAAAACAATTTTTTCACCTGTTCATAAGTCATAAAAACACTCTTTAGATCAGGTTCTCTTTCGCCTCTCAGGTTTTCTGTACTCTCTGGATCATCACTGACCTTTCAGCAGTGGCGAGTCCATCGATTAAAATCCGATAAGAACATCTTCATAGTTCAGTCTTTCCTCGGCCTCCATCACCACTTCCTGTTTGATCAGGAAGCTCAGTGTTGCTTCTGAACATCTCCATGATGCTGCGTGACATCACTCAGGTGTCAGTGAACTGATCGATGGTAGGAAGGATCCCTGCGGAGAACACACACACACACACACACACACACACACACACACACACACACACACACACACACACACACACACACACACACACACAGTGAGGAGATTACATGGCTGTAAAGCACTTTGGGCTGCTTTGTGCATGAAAGGTGCTATACAAATAAAGTGTTTGAGTTTAGGGTTTGTGTGTGTGTGTGCGTGCGCGTGCGTGTGCGTGTGTGTGTGTGTACCTTTTGCAGGCCGGCTGAGAGTCAGTGTAACCTCAGCTGGTGAAGTCTTGAACAGCTTTAGCACCCTCTGCAGTGAGAAGAGAAAACGTTGAACTGAAATATTACTCCACTACAATTTCAAAGTCTTGCATTCAAAACCCTGCTGAAGTAGATGTCTTAAACGCTGAATACACTTAAGCAGTGGCGAGCCGTCAGGGCCCTCTAGGCCCTCTGTGAGGGCCTAAGATATTCCAAAAAATAATATTTAAAAACATTAAAAAAATATATATTTTTTAAAAATATATATTTTTTTTATATTATTTTTGTTATATTTTTCATTAGTTTTACCGAAAAAAAACTTGATTTAATAAAATAACATTTCCAAAGAAATAAATCCTTCGAATCTGCCTGTTCATTCTCTGTTTGAATGTGAAGGGTTACATGAAAGAAGGTCTGGCCCTCTCTGCGATTCACAGAGGGCCCGCTATAGTAACTGAACGAGAGAGTAATGTCAAATGACAGTACAATTGACCAATCATATCTTCCCTCTAAATGGGTGTGTTTCATTATCGCGGACTTTATGACAAGTTCCGCCCGCTGTGAAACTTTTCTTGTTTCCATAGCAACAACAACTTCCTGTCAACAGCGTGAACTCGCCTTCAAAATAAAAGCATGCCAAATTACACTTAAGACATACAACTGTAACGAAAGTAAGAAACACAATGCAATATCATTTTCAATGTCAAAGAACACAAATTGGGTTCACAGGTGTTGTTTTGTGTGGTAGAGGGTCGCTGTCATTGATGAGTTTTGCACCCTGGGCCGTTGTTTTGATATTCCGCTGAAGTATACGCTGTGACGTAATAACTTTTTTTTCCTTTTTTTCGAGGGAAGGGGTGGGGGTCAGAGGGCCTAGGTATAAAGCTCACGGCTCGCCACTGGAGAACACACACACAGTCAGAGAACCAGTGGCGAGCCGTCAGGGCCCTCTAGGCCCTCTGTGAGGGCCTAAGATATTCCAAAAAATAATATTTAAAAATATTAAAAAAAATATTTTTTTTTTAAATATATATTTTTTTTAATATTATTTTTGTTATATTTTTCATTAGTTTTACCGAAAAAAAACTTGATTTAATAAAATAACATTTCCAAAGAAATAAATCCTTCGAATCTGCCTGTTCAGTCTCTGTTTGAATGTCAGTTACTATAGCGGGCCTCTCTGCGATTCACAGAGGGCCCGCTATAGTAACTGAACGAGAGAGTAATGTCAAATGACAGTACAATTGACCAATCATATCTTCCCTCTAAATGGGTGGGTTTTATTATCGCGGACTTTATGACGAGTTCCGCCCGCTGTGAAACTGTTCTTGTTTCCATAGCAACAACAACTTCCTGTCAACAGCGTGAACTCGCCTTCAAAATAAAAGCATGCCAAATTACACTTAAGACATACAACTGCAATGAAAGTAACAAACACAATGCAATATCATTTTCAATGTCAAAGAACACAAATTGGGTTCACAGGTGTTGTTTTGTGTGGTAGAGGGTCGCTGTCATTGATGGGCCGTTGTTTTGATATTCCGCTGAAGTATACGCTGTGACGTAATAACGTCTTTTTTTCGAGGGAAGGGGTGGGGGTCAGAGGGCCTAGGTATAAAGCTCACGGCTCGCCACTGCACTTAAGGTATAAAAACTAAAAGTTACCAAGGTGCAGTCAAATGTTCCCTGTCAGGGTTCATTATTATATATCATGTTTTTGGATTAATAACACTGCTGCATTAATGTGTATGTTTCATTTTACTGCTGAAGATTTACTGTCTGTAAACGATCATCCTATATTTGTAGCTTCGTCCTGTGAGAGTCATGTATCTTTAAAAAGTCAACTTTTCATGAGAACTCACTAGCAATAGGGTCAGAAAATTGAGCCACTTTAAGTAAACTAGCTTTAGGAAACTATGTGTGATTCAATAATTGCATATAATCAAATGACTGCAACATATCTGCCTAATTAAAGCTCAGTGTCTGATTTTAACACCACAGGTCGCCAGGTTTCCTTTGTGACAGTGATGCGTCACGCTGATACGTCATTGTACAATAGAGAAAAGTAAGTCCATTACATATAAGCAAATCATGGATAAGTAATCAGATTAGTGCACGTCATGAACAGAGATGGCAAAAGTACACACATCCTTTACTCAAGTAGAAGTACAGATACTCGTGTTTAAAAATACTCTGTTGAAAGTAGAAGTACTGACTAAACTTCTTTACTCAAGTAAAAGTAAAGAGGGCTTTGAAATGTACTGAAGTAAAAAGTACCCATAACTAGCAGCTGTTTTAAAGAGTACCTGACCTCCCTTTATATTAATAGAACAATAATGTCATTGTTAGCTAATGAATGTTTCCATGCTGAACAACGGCAACATGACAACGTTTTCATTGGTCCCTCTTCTTTAGAGAAGACCAGGAAATGATGGATACACGGATCGTGTTCAAATCAATAGGCACGCAATGACTCTAAATAATAATGATCACGCCACCAAACACACATTCAAACTAAAGGAACCAGCCTGTTTGGGAAATGTGAGAAGTAGAAAGTACAGGTATTTGTGTTCAAAATGTAAGAAGTAGAAAGTACAGGTATTTGTGTTCAAAATGTAAGAAGTAGAAAGTTCAGGTATTTGTGTTCAACATGTAAGAAGTAGAAAGTACAGGTATTTGGGTTCAAAATGTAAGAAGTAGAAAGTACAGGTATTTGTGTTCAAAATGTAAGAAGTCAAAGTAAAAAGTCACCAGAAAAATAAGTAGTGGAGTAAAGTACTGATACCAGACAAATGTACTTAAGTACAGTAACGAAGTATTTGTACTCCACTACTTCCCACCTCTGTTAATGAATGAATACACCTGATTTATGATGTGCACATACAGGGTAGGTGAGCTCTTTGAGGGACTGTCCGTTGATGGCCAGCAGGACGTCGCCCTCCTCGATCCGCCCGCTCTGCTGCGCCGGCTGACCGGAGAAAAGCGTCTTGATCCGGACCAGGCTGTTGAAATCCTGGATGGGGGGGTCCAGCTCACACATCAGGAAACTGAAGCCCAGTCCGTTGGCACACTTAGTCAGAGTCACATCCTGGGTGTTGCCTGAGGGTTTGGAAAAAAGGAGTATTTGGATGAAGAGGTGGTGGATAAAGGGAAGAGGAAAGAAAAAGATACAAATCATTAGATGTTTTTTATAAGGATTTAAAAAGGGTTTTCCATTGACTTCTTTTCTTTCTTATATTAACAGTAAATGGATTGACTGGTAGGCTACTACCGAAAGATGGATTTTCAACCCAACATTTTGTAAAGACGAAAGTATGTTGGTACTATCATCCCAAACAGAACATAAACGAATATTTTTTTAATTTTTTTAAACGGATTTTAAAAGTCAGAAATAGTTGTTTTGAACTGTAATTGTTGACCATTTTAGGTAGGCTAACTATAATCCCATTTTTTGTTCCTTAAAACGTTTTTCATGAAGTGTTTGTTGTTGTCATACTAATTTCAGCCACAAGAGGCTGAGGTGCACCACAACCCGTTCATTTTAATTTCACTTAAAGTAGCGAATTTTCTATTTTTTCTAACGTGTCTCTCAGGGTTTACGTAGGCTTTAGCTAGCCGCTTGATAGCATCAAAACAAGAAACTGTAAACCTGGCTTTATCCAAAGAAAAAGAAAACCAGCCAACCACCATACATTTAACAAATCACAAATGCTAATAAGTAAGCTTAAGAGTTGTTAGTAAGTAGATTTAGACACAGCCAAGCTTTCGGTTTTGCTGTTTCCTTTCTTTGTGCTAAGCTAACTAGCTGCTGGTTGTAGCTGTAGGCTATATATATCAGAGTGATGTCATTCTTTTCATATTACTTGCATAAAAAAACCATTTTGTTCTATTACATAGTACACTGTTTTGTCATTAAAGGTAATCTTATTACATTTACAGTCAAGATAAATTAATTATTACTTGCATGTCCAATTCATTCTTCTGTAGACATAATAAAAGGCAACAGTAAAATACATTATAACACCATTTTGTTTTAGCAACAAATACATATAAAACAAGATAATACTTTGACTCAATGTTATAACGTCTGATCTGCCTGCCTGAGTGAGAGGAAAGAGGAAGACGACAGATATAGAAGGACAGGCCGAGGGATAAGGCCAGAGGGGATAAGAAGAGGAAGGTCAGGGTCAGTGAGGAAGATCAGGATGAAAAGGAGGAAGTGTGTGAAGGTTCACCTCGACAGCTTAGAGAGAACGATCTCTCACGCGAGTGTTTCCTCTGTAGTGTTCGTGACTTAATGATCTGCCTCTCTACAAGGAACTGCAGATGGAACCGTTGGCTAAGTTGTATTTATTATGGGAGAACACAAATGGTTCTTCTCCAAGAAATAGATCCTGGTTGTGACACCAATACGTTTTATGTGCACTTAAATTAAAAGTAAATGGACTGCATTTATAAAGTTACCTTTTACTCCGGACTACTGTTTACGTTTTTTGTTTTCTCTGTTTCTGTTCTGATTTTATGTAAAGCGTCTTTGAGCATTAGAAAAAAGCGCTATAAAAATCCCATGTATTATTTTCCAGTCTTTGCAACAACCCAAAGCGTTTTTTTCCGTATATACAAGTCAGCATTTACCCATTTACACACATTCAGACATCAGGCCATCTGGAGCAATTTGGGGTTTAGTTTCAACCCCAAGGACAATCAACAACCCTTAGATTGGTGGAAGGCCATGCTAATAGCATAAGTCTATTATTTTACTCAATGTGCAGTTGCTGTATTCCTGCTACTTGTGACTTTGTGATGTGAGTTAATTATTTTATTATTTGTATTGTATTTATCCTTTTATTTACTTGTATTATTATTATTTTATCTGTGACCATGACCTGATGGGGTAGGGGTAGGGGTAGGGGATGGGTAATTGTATTTCATATTACAGACCAATTGTTCTGTACTTTGTTTAAAGGTCCCCTATTATACTGTTTTTCATCAATATATTATAGTTCTCAGTTATATACAAAACATGTCTCTGAAGTGTTTGTCTGAAACACCAAACAGATCATTGCAGCATCCCATAATCCCCTCTGTTTCAGCCCTGTTTCAAAAGTGCTGATTCTCTGTCTGTTATCGTGACGGGATTTACGGCTCTTTGAAGGGAGCCGGATCTTATGGCTCCGTTCCTTTCCGAGAGCCGTTCAAAGGAGCCGTTTTTTGTTTTAAGGGAGCGGGGTTAATAGGTTTAACTGCGAAATAATCACCAGGATAATGATTGACTGTATTGCCAGAAATGTACTTTTACTCACAGAAAATGTATAACTACTGTAACTACATCGCTCAGGCAGCCAAACTCCTGCTCAAGCAGCATGCGTTATGCCATCATCTACTGCAAATTGGCATTCAGGAAAGCAAGTTCCCGTAAAGACGAGTGGATTTATGGCAGGCAGTGAACCAACGATAAAAAGAACGGCTCTCACCAAGTACGACTCGGTTCCGTTCGTTCGTACCAAAGAGCCGTTCAAAAGAATCGAATCGTTCGCCAACGTCACATCACTAGTCTGTTACTTTAGATGAAAATAAGGAGCCCCTCCCCACGCCCCTCTGAGAGATATTTGGTTAAAAAGAACACAATGGTGCTCTAGGAGGAGATTCAGGTGATAAGGGGGGGGGGGGGTTACCTTGGTTGGTGATTGGCTAATGGTTACACAAGCCAAAACATCATTGTGACATCATAAAGTGAATGTGCTGAAAAGTGCCATGTCTGCAAAAAAACATATATATATATATTTAAACCGGGCTCTCCTACCATCGTTGACAAAGCTGTAGTCCCGGGGCCGATCGGAGGTGTTTGTGGTGGTTCTGGTGGGCGAGCAGCTGTTGGTTCTGAGTGGGCTGGAAGCTGGACTCGTGCTCTGATTGGATGCACTGCTGATGGTGTCCGAGTGAAAAGAAATCCTGGGTAGTTTAATCGTCACCCTCTGTACAACCAAGGTCACCACCTAGAGTAAAAAAATCAAAGTATCATTACAGTTTTGAGGATTCACCCTCTGGGAACTAAACAATATGTGCACAAACTGTTGTGCAAATCCATCTTGTAGATAATTATCAACATCATGAGTGTATAAACGTATATAATTATTAGGCAAGTCAGTCACACTATGTTAGGTGAAAATGAAACACTGGAGCTGGAAGACACACCTGGGGGTTGTGTTGGCCTTGCTCCACTGTGTGCTAGCTTGCTAACACACAGTTCACAACAACAGATGTCTCAATCAAAGAAGATGTGTTCTGTCTTTGACACTAAAAGAAAGTGGTCCTTGTAAATGTGGGGACGTAGAGTATGAACCTAACATGTACAATATGTCATCATTGGTCTCTAATGGTCTTTTTCCTAAGTCACATTGTGTCTTACCTCCCCAGTTTTGCTCAGATGCTCCACGGCCTGCTGGTAGGTGATTCCCTGGAAGTTAATCCCATCCACCTCCAACACCCTGTCGCCTGTTACAGAGAGTTAGAGACAAATCAACTGCCTGTCTCACTATCAAATTCAGAAAGTGCTGAAGGACTCCGAGTACTGTATGAATCGATAAAAGGCCTTATTGGGGGTGCTTCAAATTACTATAAATAGATCAAACACAGCATTATTTAAGCAGTTTGCAAAGAATTCTCCACAAGTGCATAAACGTTAAGCATTGTTGGACTTGATATTGAGTTGTCATAGGGTTCGAGTTATAATCTGAGCTTTATGGGGGTCTTTAAAACTAACGTTAGGGGCGGAGATAAATATATCAATAACAGCCGGGTAATAACGTAAATAACGGGTGATATTTATAAGAGAGAGAGAGAGACTTCACTGCTCATTACCTGGTCACACACACACACACACACACACACACACACACACACACACACACACACACACACACACACACACACACACACACACACACACACACACACACACACACACACACACACACACACACACACACACACACACACACACACACACTTTGGAGGTGAAGTGCAGGCATTTTGTCATTCAAGAGAGAATACGATGCGTAGTTATTTTGTAAAACATGTTTTTCTTTTCGCCTATTTACCTCGTTAACGTAAATAATACTCATGACATTGAAACATGCATTATTTGTGATTAAAATAATGGTTGTTGGTAATGTATTAGCGACCCCCAAAATGTATGAATTCACTGCTTTCATAGGAGCTCAGACCCCTCCTCATGAGAATCCCCATTGGCTCCCACATAACTCGAACCCGGGTCATACCTGAATGTAGGCGCCCATCTCTCTCTGCAGCGCCTCCTGGAACAAGGCATCTTATGTAAAGTCCTCCATTTGGAACATTAGTGTTCCAGCCATCCTGATCGATTAATGAGAAAATAAACATGAATTCAGTATTCTAATATATACTGATATGGGAGGGGAAACAATGTGCAAAGACCCAGTTTCACTATTTGCAGTGAGGTAGTGGTGTAACATGGACAAAGCACTCTCTCCCTCTGTAAGCCGGTCAGATGTTAATCAGATTGCGTCGAGCACTCATTCTGACTCACTGCTCCAGATTAGTTGCTGTACTAATTACCCTTCCTGACTCTTTTTCCTGATGTAAACACATTACACAGATATAGGATTTTGCAGGTCCATACCAGGGATGCAAACCAATATCTTGCAAACAGAAAATAGAAGGATTTCCTGCCAATGCTGTCAATGCAGTAATTGAAAGTACAGTAATATATCTAAGCAATAATAGGCTTTTGAGCCGTTGGGTTTCCAAGCTGTAGTCTATTATTGTTGGTGACTATCGCATTCCAATTGGATCACTTGTCCTTTACGTAAAAGCCTATTATTAGCATCTAGTTTAACCACTTTTTCAGGCCATTAGGGCAAAATCAAGAAGTATATTCAGATAGCATGATAAGTCTCTGTCTAGCTGCAACACACTAAGCTTTGCAATTGAGCGACAACGTTAATTGGCAACTTTTGGTGCTAGATTTAGCTTCTTTCATTGGAAGAAAGTTGGCATTAGTGCACAGATTCACACAGATGAATACAATTAAAGATCAAATCAAAGATACAAATAAAAATGAACTCACAGAGATGCTGATGCCCAGAATTCCTGAGATCTTTCTGAGCTCCACAGAGATCTCCAACGGCCTCACACAGTTTGGAGGGGGAGACAGACAGCAGTTGTCCTGAAACACACACACACAGAAACAGCAATGATATCCGTCCTGCTTCTCTGTATCTCTGACTGCATCACACACACACACACACACACACACACACACACACACACACACACACACACACACACACACACACACACACACACACACACACACACACACACACACACACACACACACACACACACACACGAAACCTTCCCCATGATTATACCTGTGCTCGTACTTCTCGGGGGACGTTCAGCCTGTTGCTGGTCTTCGGCGTCATCATGGCAGAAACTATTTCATCCAAACCGTCTTGTTCTGAAGAGCCGTCCGTTATCGACGTGCCCTGGGATTCGTAATTCCTAAACACGGGAGAACGCACGCTGTTGGGACTGGGGCTCACTGTGGGTAGAAACAACAGCTATGTTACACCTCAAAAAACTGAAGTACAACATTTTGAGAGAGTTCCATGTATGGTAAGAGTAGCCTTCAATTCTATGTGTTAAATGTTTTTGTCTGACTGTGTAAGGCAAATACTTCTACATTTCAAACCTTGAATACGTTTAGTTACAGAAATCGTCGGATACAGCTCTCCTATACTGGCCCCCCAACCCCTATAAGAAGCTAGAGCCAGAAGCCAGTTAGCTTAACTTAGCACAAAGACTTAACACAGAGGGGATATATAGTAGGTAATGTACACCTACGTTTTGATTTGATGTAGATACAAATAACATAAAACATGTGAATTCATGAAGTTTGAAAGTGCTGGTAGAGGTTTATTGCTACCTTTGGAAACTAAGCTAAGCTAAGCTAAGCTAGCTGTTTCGCCCTCGTTTTTATAGTTTTCCATATTTCTTTATGCTAAGCTAAGCTAACAGCTGCATGAAGCTATAGAAAAAAAGTCACGATGCAGCACAAAAAAGAGAAAGGAAATCTAATTTGTACGTGTTAGTAATTCACAACAGGTGCATCAAGAGCATAGGCTAATACCACACAAACACAGGAGGGTCAGGGTCAAAGTCACAGTATCATTACACACACACACACACACACACACACACACACACACACACACACACACACACACACACACACACACACACCACACACACACACACACACACACACACACACACACACACACACACACACACAGAGCACCTTTTGGCTGTGAGACGATGAGCTGCACCTCCTCAGGGCTGCTCTGCATGATCTCTGCTGCCTCGCTGAAGGTCACGCCCTCCAGGCTGAAGTGGTTCAGAGAGATCATACGACCGCCTGGGGGCAAAGGTCACAGTGAGCGGGGGGGGGGGCGGTGTCCGGTAACAGTGCAGTTTGAAGACCTGAACCCACATATGACCTCAAAAGGCCTGTGATCAAATCCCACAGACACCTCCACTACTCAGTCTGCCCTTCTTTGTACTTTACTACACCTTCTCTGCATCCATTTCCTTAAAGAACAAGGATTTCTCTGCACCAAAATGGGATGATCTATTTGAATAATGCCCCTTTCACACCGGCGCTTTTCCAGCTCCTGCTCGGAGCTGGAGCTGGAAAAGCGCCGGTTTTTCCTGTTCACACCGCAGCGGCGGCGCGTCATAGCTCCGGAATGCGGTTCACTTCCAGCTCCAAAAAATTGTCGGTCCAGAGGCAAGAGCTTCGGAGCTATGACGCGGCGTCGCTTACGTCTCTTACGTCGAGGCGTGCAGGAAACCTTACTTTGACCATCCGTTCGCTGTTATTGATCATTGTGGAGATACATGGGCTGTACAGGTTGTCATGTCCGACTATCAGAAGTAGAATCATAATGAAAAATACGCCGGTAAAAAGTGCCTGTAGAAAACGGCTTAGCAAGTAGTCAGTTTAGCTTCGGTTGCTATGCTAACATCACCCATGTTATACCAGAGAAACTTTCATAACAGCGTTGTGATGCCAAACAGCGTCAATTCAGACTGACACACATTCACTTAAGGGGAACTGGGGATATGTATCAGCTGCTTGTGTGACAGTCAGACAGTGAATACTTTAGAGCCGTGTGAGCTAACCCGGAGCTAACGGGAGAATAAACTCCAGCACTGCAGCGGTCGGTAAATGCCGCTGAAACACATTAATAAACAATGAACCACGGCACTCTGGAGAAAAGTATAAGGTTGGAGAAGTCGTTATTTAATTTAATCTGGCTTCGTATGATTAAAAGCAACACGATCATCGACCCGATGCAGTCCCCAGCCCGTTGTTGTTCTGAGCTCCGTTGGGGAGAAAATCAGCGACGTAAACTGTGACGTCATGACGCAGCAGCGGCAGCTCTGGGCAGTGTGAACAGAGCGGGAGCTGAAAAGGGAAACCGGAGCTGAACCAGAAAAGCTCTCGCTAGGAGCTAGAAAGGGAAAAGCGCTGGTGTGAAAGCCGCATTAGTGCCGTTTTTACACGGGCAAATCACAAAACAAAAGGGCCCCTGGGCACAGACATGGAATGAAGCCTCACCACCTCTCCTACGACACACAAACTCAACAGTTGTTTAGCCTGTTTTTGATTTCGTTCTGTCTCTTTCTAGTTCCTTTTTGGATTGTTTTCCCCATTTTATAGCCATTGTAAGTGTCTTTGCGTCTCTTTGAAGCTTTTTTGCCTCCCTTTGTTGTCATATTAAGTTCGCTTGAAGTCATTATTTGAGCCCTACTGATCAAATGTTTCTTTTGACCCCAGGATATTTGGCTTATCCGGCAGTGGGCTTGGACTGTGAGCCGGAGGGTCGCCGGTTCAAGTCCCCGAACAGACCTAAATATGGAGTGTGGACTGCTACTTGGAGAGGTCCCAGTCCAGCTCCTGGGCCCTGCCGTGGTGCCCTTGAGCAAGGCACCGGACAACAGAACTGGCTGAACTATAGCAGTATATTAAACAGTGTTGATAAGGATAGAGTGAAAATGTCCACATGATTCTCTACCTGGTCGAATGCGTCTGTCCTTATCAGCCGGTCCACCAGGCACAATGGAAGCAACAAATATGCCCAAGTCATAATGGCCAACAGTGTCCTCTCCCACTATCAGTATACCTGTAGCGACATTAACCAAAGATGTGTCAAGAAAAAGACTTTTCGTCTAAGGGCTTTTTCTGTTAAATAATGATTTGATCGTCTTACCAAGGCCAAGCTTCGGGTCTTTCTTTAGAGTAACACATATGACTTCTCGCTCTGTTGATGACCTTACTCTTGTTGGGGTTTCTGTAAGACAAAAAGTAGAATAACATATTAAAGTGGTGCTTTGGCAAAGAGGGTTTGGTTTTCTAATTCCGTTTTTTGCACCCTTTTTTATGAAACTGAAATTAAAGGAGTAGCGGCGGGCCAAGGAAGAACATGTTACATTTTGGAGTGGAGATTTAATATTGTGAGATATGGCATTTAGCCTTGGTGGAGGTCTGTGCTCGCTAAGTGCTTTACAATTAAACTTTAACCTACTGTAAGATGAGTCATTAATCAAATACAAGATGCATCATCATTCAGTATGCACACAGTATGTCGAGTAGCTTAATGCCTTAAAATGTCTTGTATATGTTTCTTTTGTTGTTATTATTATTATTTATTTGATTTTATTTCAATGTTGTGTTTGTTTGGTGGTTCTTTTGGTATTGTTGACCCTGGTCGAATGGTCTCTTTTACTCCCGTTATCGTACATGTGAGGGTCTATGTATGTATGTATGCTTTCTGTGTTTGACAATGTCACAAATAAATCACCCACCAATCAAAAGCAGTGACATGTTCAAAGTGCATCGTCTCACAACTACTGTCAGCATAATTATTCATGAAACAAAATTGCATCTGTTAGGAAATCTGAAGGCCACAGAAACGTCAGCAGTTTGTTTTAACCCAAAGAGCATCACGCAGGTCAAATGGAAGAAGTTGCAGTAACTTCGTCACTGCTCTTGCTTGTTTTTGTCGGTTTAAGAAATCCTTGGTCCTACCTTTGGCGGCAGGAGAGCAGGACGGCGCTTCAGGTCCGCTCCTCTGAGAGCAGGCCGGGGAACGCAGACTGGGGCTGCTGAAGTAGATACTGCACAACAAACAATGTGATAACAGAGACTACTCAATACTGTCATCTGAGAACAGTTAAGAGTCCATTTGGACAAAGAAGAACAAGAACTAGATATTGAAGTAACTGTTATTTTGTATATATTGATTGTTGTGCTTTTATTTCTGTCTTTAATGTGTGCATATGTATACATGTGTCTGTTGATTGTGTAGGATATATAGGTATATACATATTTGTAGACATATTTTTATATATATTTGTATTTTTGTATTCGGGATTGTGGGAAACGGTATTTCGATCTCTCTGTCTGCACACACAAACTGAAATATTGACAATAAAGTTGACTTTGAACTAGCATGAAATAGTAATCTCCATCCCCCTAAGTGTCTCACCCGTATTAACCATCTGCTTCAGGGGATAATTTGACTGTATGACGCCTTCTTTTTTATAATTGGAGGCGTGTGGTGCAGTGTATTAGTGCGTTGGTGTTCGGATCAGGGGGTCACAGGTTCAAACCCCACTGCAGTCAGCATGTCGTTGTGTCCCTGAGACACTTCACCCCAAATTGCTCCTGTGGGGATTGTCCACAGTATTGAGTATGTAAGTCGCTTTGGATAAAAGCGTCTAACAAGTGACATATAATGTAATGTAATGTAATGTAATAATTACATCAGTGTTATTTTATGTAAAACGTAATTATAGTATATGTTATTCTTAAAGTTTTGCCATTTTTATTGAATTTCAGCAATCATCTGTATATCGATCTTGTGTTTTATATTCTACAACAATATCTGTTTTCCTGTTTTCCTTTTTTGTAATTAATGCCGATTTTTATTCCATTTCTATGTAAAATTATATTTTACTATATTTGTTATATTTTTAATATTTGTCTAGTTCTCTATCTGTGTCTTTAATTGTTGTTTTACTTGTATGTATGCACCACGACATCAAGTCAAATTCCTCGTACGTGTCAATAAACCTGTTTCTGATTGTGATATAAAATTGTGATTTTTCCCGTTGTAGAGGCTTCAAATAAGTCCAATGTGTTTATTGCCTCTTCCTGCTCTGTTTGTCTCTGTAACTCTGTTATGTTTGTGTATTATTAAATTGTGCAAACCCATTCAAACCCATTAGTCCTCTTACCTCTGCTCGTTGAGGCGCTGCTGCTTGATGCGGCTCTCGATCCTGGCTGTGACGTCATCACACAGCTTGTTCAGAGACCCTTCCTGAGGCGTGGTCAGACCGCTGTCGTCCTGCGGCGTCTCCGAACACGAGACGGACTTCAGCTGGCTGCTCTGAGTGGGAGAAACCTCTGCGTACCGCCCTGTGTTTTCATCTGGAGGTAAACGAAAGAAAAAAATATGGAGTTATCTCTAGGAAGTTAAAACAATGCCTTTTAACACATTTTCAACATTAAAAGCCGGCTTTGCTCTAAATCAGGGGTGTCAAACTCAAGGCCCGGGGGCCAAATCCGGCCCGTGACTTCATGTTATGCGGCCTCACAAGAGCTTGCAAAGAATATAATATGTTTATTATACGGTTACATGCAGATTTACAGAAGCACGTTGCCCATAAACTACATGTCCCACAATGCATCTCAAATTTGACCTTTTTCTCAGAATTTGACTTTTTTTTTCAAAATGTTACTTTTTTCAAAACTGCACTTATTTTTTTCAAAATGTCATTTCTTTGACTTTTTTTTCCAGAATTTGGCTTTTAAAAAAAAATCATTTTGTGACATTCTCACTGAAGAGACTTGCAATTATTTGCCCTAGACTTCTGCTTTCAGACGTAGTTAATTATGAAGTTATTACCCTATCTGATATTAATCCAATGCAGAGGCAATAATGTAATAATACATTATTTTATATATATTAAACATTTATATATGTATTTTTATATAGTCTTAAAGTTACAACCGGCCCTTTGAGTGCAACCATAATGCTAATGTAGCCCAAGATGAAAATGAGTTTGACACCCCTGCTCTTAATGGATGGATGGACATCTCGTGGATATTTACAATATGGATAAGATGACAGCATTTGTCAATCATAAATTGGAACAATTCACATCACTCACTATGTAAAGCCCTATAGGCCTAATTTTGTTTTCACAGATCCATAACTCTGCTGTGAAGAAATGTCTACTCTACTGTTCAGCATTCATTGTGCAGCGACTGACCTGAGACCAGGTTTTGGCTGATCTGGCGAGAGTTCATCTCATTGTTGAACTTGTGTTGAGCTGAACAGAGGTTACAAAGATACGTGGCTATCTTCGATCTCTCCGTGATGAAGTTGTACTTCTTCTTGCTGCCCCGGCTCTCTACTGTGAATTTACGCCTCTGCAGGAACATGAAGGAAAGGAGTTACTTGAAAAGTGAGATTATTCTCTTGATAACAAGGACAATTCCAGCCCAATATCGTTATAATAGAAGCTATAGCTGTCGTAGAGACCCTACATTAAAATGTTGTGTTATTCTCCCAAAAGTACATCTATTTTTTTTACTTAAAGTGGACCTATCATGCTATATTTTAATAATTTAGTGTAGGACCATACCTATATAAGGCATATTTATACTTTGTTTTTTTCAAAATACCAAACAGATCATGCATTTTAGCCATGCCTCATTTTGCTCAATTTGCACTTTTTTATCCATGTTTTAGCAAGGGCAGATTCAGTGAGAACAGCACCATCTACAGGCCTGGCATATGTACTACAGCGTCTCCAGCGCTTTCGAACGGCAATGGCCGTGGCTGTCTCCTCCTGATTGGTGGAGTTGGCCCAATAGCCGTAGCGCCACCGTCCTGACGTCAGGACAGTGTTCAAATCTGGATCAGTTTTTATCAGATCCGTTGCAGCCTCTTTTTTAGAGATTTGGGTATGGAGGAAAATAGAGAGGGTTGTGTTTTCGGACACTTGGTGAGTTCCCTGGAACACCGGGGACACTTATTCATGTATAAAAGACGTACAAAAGTGCATTTTGCATGATAGGTCCCCTTTAAAATCCCTTCTGGGGCTCTGTAGAATATTGCATGGTATGATGAGATAAATCACACTCACATTAGAGGAGATGGTTGCTGTCTCCCTCCAGTAGAACATCTGACTGGTGGATCGGCAGCCATCTTTAACCTCGTAGACGATGACTCCTTTGGCACAAACCCCAAGGATGATCTCTCCTTCTAAGGGCTTCTTCTCTCGCATCACGCGGTGGAAGAACACGCCGTATTCAGGCAACTGCTGACACAACTAAAGCAACAAACAGAGGTGTGTAACTGTACTTGATATAAGCTATAAGAGGGATTTGCAGCAATGAGTCCCTAAACCCTACATATTTTTTATTTTACCTTGAGGAAATCTAGCTCTGATTCATCAGGGAGCATCTGAGCGTTGTTGGTGTGAAGTCGGAGCAGTTCTCCCTGAATGTAAGGCAAGGCACGTTTCTCCATCACGCTCTTGGAGACATACTGGTCAGGGCGGTAGTAGTTTCTACCGTACACCTAAACACAACCAAACAAAACAAAACCTTTTAGAGAAAAAAAAAATACATTTAAATCCTGGTGTAAAGACTTGTCTTGTAATGCTAAATTGTTTCTTAAAAATACTTATTTTTTATTATTCTTATATATTTCTTTTTTTACCTACTTTGCAACTTGTTTTTTTAGATTGTTTATGTTCGCAGCACCAAATACCAAAGAAAATTCCTTGTATGTGTGTTGGGAAAATAGTGAATGTCCTCTTCCAACATCAGAGTAACATGCTAACAAAGGTATCCCAACTACATGACAGGATGTATGATTACCTAGAAGAGCATCAGGACTGTTTTAGGCATATGATAGCTATGTGATTAACATGATGATTCAATCCAGTCTCACGGCATTTCGTGTTACAGTCACGAATCTATTGATTCGTGTTCACCAACACGATTTTCCCATTTTTATCGTGTCACACAGAACGATTTTAAAAGCAATGTAAATAATAATAAATTAGAAGGAAAAACAGATTTAAAAAAATACAGATTTCAGTATTCTGACACAGAACGATTTTAGAAGCAATGTATTTATATTGGTAGTATGTTTCGTGCCTGCACCAAATAATAACAAATTAGAAGGAAAAAAAGATGACATAAAATACAGATTTCAGTATTCTGAGGCTCTGAGCCATTTCTTTTCCTCGCGGACGGCAAAAAAACTCAGACATTATACAATTTAAAATAAAAGGGATAGGGTTAGGCTTAGGGTAAGATATTGAGTAAGAACATGTTTTTATGAACCACACAGCTTCCGGTCTTCCAAGACCCGACCGGATATCAGCATGTGAAGGACACTGTTCAGGAACTAGTTGATGCTCTGTTTGTGATGACTACTTTTTGAGATTTTGGGGGAAAAAGTCAGAATTTTGAGATTTTGAGTAAAAAGTCAGAATTTTGTGATTTTGAGTAAAAAGTCAGAATTTTGAGATTTTGAGTAAAAAGTCAGAATTTTGTGATTTTGAGTAAAACGTCAGAATTTTGAGATCAGAATTTTGAGAATTTTGAGATTTTGAGATCAGAATTTTGAGATTTTGAGTAAAAACTCAGAATTTTGAGATTTTGAGAAAAAAGTCAGGATTTTGAGAAAAAGTCAGAATTTTGAGAAAATTATTTGATTGGCTGACGCTTCCACCGAAAGCTTCAGAAGCTTCAAAAGTTGAACATTGCTCAACTTTTGCAGCCTGAAACGCCAGGAAAGCTCCGCTCTGCTTCCCACAATGCAGTTCGGTGAAAAGTGACGTCACCCCATTCAAAGTGAATGGGCAGAAGAAGCTTCCAACGCCGCTGTGTGGACGGGCCGTAACTCCCTCTCTTGTATATCAGCATGTGAAGGACACTGTTCAGGAACTAGTTGATGCTCTGTATGTGATGACTACTTCCATTCTTGAGAGGATCAGAAATACATGGATCCTGAGATTGAAGCTCAAGCCGGTGACGAGTGATATTTTTCTAACAATTTTGATTTAGTAATTCTGTAAATGTCAGTCAAATGAACAATGATATGCAGATGTTTAATAATGTGTGGTGCACAACCTCAGGCATGCAGTCTCCACACTCGGTCTGCAGGGCCAGAGCTCCCAGGTAAAGAGCCGTCTCCTCATGGCAGGACAGCCTGTCCTCCAAAAGGTCTCTCCTGAGCTGCAGGTAATACTGGTGGCGGGTCTGTTTGTGCCTGATAGAGAAGACCGCATGTCATTAAAGGATTATCAGGGAAACTTTTGGTAGCAACACAAGAAAGAGAAATACTTACAAATGTGAAATGTCCTTCACAAAGAATTTAACTCTGAAGAAAAGGACAAAGGTGGTGGTAGGCACTTTCTTCCAGGTATCTGGAGCAACTTTGGAAATCTTGGTGTCATTGTCCACAAAGAAAAACTCGTTATCTGACCAGAAAATAGAGAAAGGAACATGGAGAAAGGATGAGTTTACATAAATACAAGTTTTCATCTTTGATTCAGGGTCCAATTTGTTTGGGAATTTTCTGTAAACATGTCCTTAAATGTGTGAAACCTAGTTCTTTTCTCAATAATACTTGCTCATTAATTTTTCTAAACGTCTTTACCATCAATATAAGCAAGGCCAAAGTAGAAATGTTCCACCAGGTTGGAGTGAGCCACGATCATGTCGAAGACGTCCCCTCCTCTGGATTTCACCTCACACTTCACCAGGATGCTCTGACCGTTTGGCATCACCACACTCAGCTCTCTCTGCGTGGTCAGAGATTTCCCTTTTTTTGACTGCGAAGGGGAGAAAAATACTTTTAGGACAGAATTTAATTTAAAAAAACAAACAATCTGATGGTTGCTGAATATGCTCAGGGTAAGAAATGGTCTATGCAGTTGCAGAGTAATGCTTTATTCTACATAAGGCTTGTTAAGAAAGTTCAAGAGTCTCAACTTGCAAATGTTAGCATCATCATCATCCAGAGATTCTTGCTTTAAGACAAGGTGTACCATTTTAAAATATTGTAAATATCCCAAACTCTGAAATCAGATTTGGTTTATTTATCTGTCCATAGCCCAACACTCATTAACTAGTAGGATATTTGGGTATTTTGATCACGTCAAAAGTAATTCTCCAATCGCATTTGGCTGATTTCCAAATAGTTTAATTGGTTGATTGATTACATGTTGGCCAAAGCCTCCTTTTGGCTGCCCTGTTGAATGAACCCTTAAACTGTAAATTAACCTCTTGATCAACATGCTTGAACGGTCAAAAATAGTCTTTGTGGTTTACAGTATAACTGACACACCTACAGTAACTTTAAATTCTGTTTTAAAGAACTCACCAAGATGGATCCAGGCAGCTCCAAGACAACCAGCGGCTCATCTAACATCCTAATAAACTCAGGACCCATTTCCTGCAACAGATAACAAATAATACAAATATTATACTGTCAACTCCCCAATCCAAAGACTTAAAGGGGACCTATTATACAAAATCCACTTGTTCATGTCTCTTCTACATCAACATGTGTCCCCTCTGTGGAAAGAGATTCTGAAAGTTTCAGGAACAAAGATTCTCTCTCTTTTTGTCCTGATCCATTTATATAAAAACCTGTCTGAAAATGAGCTGATCAGATTTTGGCCACTTTATGATGTCATAATGATTTTTTGGCTTGTGTAACCATTAGCCAATCACCAACCAAGGTAACCCCCCCCCCCCCACCTTATCACCTGAATCTCCTCCTAGAGCACCATTAGCCGCGTTCACACCGGAGTACTTTCACCGTACTTTTCGCGTTTTAGTTCCGTGAGTCGCGTTCACACCAAAAATCGTACTTAATCTCGGGTACTTTTACCCCCATTTTTAGAGCCAACTCAGAGAGCGTACTTTTCTGTGGGTGAAAAGTTCTCCAAAAGTGCCCCAGTGCTGATTGGCTGGGCGAATTGCAAACCACGCCCGTACAACTCTGAAAATGTTGTGTAGAGCCGCCATTGTTTTTCCTCGCTACAAAAACACAACGCTCCGTGCGTTGTGTTTGTTTTTGAAAGCAGTTATGGCAAGCATCAAGAAATGATGAGGAGGTGTCGGCGCTTCTGGAGATCTACGCAGAGGACGCGACCCAGGGAATGCACTGAAGCCAGTTCGGTAGCTTTCACTCGACCTGGGAATGTGCACAGCCCCACGGCACACCGGCTAAAAATAAAGAAACTCGGGCAGGACTACAAACGGCGGATTCAGTGGCCAACGATGACGACCACGACGAAGGTAAAATCAACTACATGCACTGGGGTTTTAATCTGCACAATAATGGTCTCAGATGTACTTTTATTTGCTCAGTAGATCAAGCTAGCCATGCTAGCCATAATAGGCTAACACCGGCCCCGAGCACACAGTACACACACACTGTAACTTTGTCTTGAAAGAACGTTGCGCATCGAACTGATGTTCACAATCATGTTTATTTCATAATATTCATCATATTTTATGTTTAACTTGCCTCAACAACATTAAACAAAGTTCAAGCATACATGAAGCACTCTTCAAAAAGGAACAATCCTCCGTGTTTGAACCTCTTAAATCGCTGCATAGCCGATTTATTTGGACTGGATTATCCCAGAGGGTCTAAACATTCTTTATAACACAGTTTCAGATTTGTGAAACCTTAATTCTATTTGTGAAAATACAAAAAACACATTCCTAGTATGTTGTAAAACTACATGGCGACTAAACTTGTATATTGTATATTGCTTATTTTCCCCTCTTAGGAAAGCGGACACGGGATGCGAATTTCTTTGACACCGCCCAGGCGTTGGAGGACCGGCGTGCCGTGGTGAATGAGTCGCTGCGTGGAGATCAGATGGTGCTGTTCACCAAGGCCCAGGAAACGGAGGACAAGATGCTCACCTCGATGGAGCGCCAGGCAGCAGATGGAGCGCCAGCAGCACCAGGATGAAGTGTGGGCGCTGCGCCATGAGGAAGCGTCGGCGCAGCGGCAGGATGATCGACAAACTGCATTTAATAACAGTTTATTTGGTATAGTTTTTGTAAATACTGACACACGACACACAACGTTGCACTAAGGTGTGCATGCTGCTGAGAATATCCCTACACCTGGGACAGTTTATTTTATATTGTTATTACTGTTATGACTTTATTTTATATATAATGTTTACTGACATGTACAACTGACACTTTATTTACATTTAAAATTGTTCTATTTAATGTTATGTCTTGAGAGTGCAATAAAGAAAACCGACATGGCGATTAAGCTTATTTCTCCTGACACTTTATCTTTTGTGACCTGTGTAGCATCCTATACATCACATGTAAGTGATTATTCTGATACCATCATGTTTCATCGGTTATAAACTGGCAAAGCTTTATTTGTCATTTATTTATCATCAATGTTGCAACCTTGTGGGGGAATGGCAGGGGCACATACACAAATATGACAATTTATATCATTTTAAATATTATTTGACCTAAACTTTTAATTCCCCCCCATTTCACACAACACAACATGGAGTCCACTATGGGCCAAAACTAACATGTATGTTTGCATAGTGTTTATGGCAGACGGATGCAGTGGGTCTCAGGAAGATATATAATAAAGGTGGGTTTGCTGCTGAGACTCCCTACAGCTGGGAGTTTATTTTATATTGTTATTACTGTTATTATATAGTACAACTGACACTTTATTTTATATTGACAATGTTTACTGACATGTACAACTGACACTTTAGTTACATTTAAAATATTTCTATTTAATGTTATGTCTTGAGAGTGCAATAAAGAAAACCGACATGGCGATTAAACAGATCCTGTATCAGTTTTTCTTCTTCTCTTGTTTTGTAGCGGGTTGCAAACAACTTTAAGGTGCTTACCGCCACCTACTGTACTTGTAATCTTCCCTCAGGGAAAAGTACTCCGGTGTGAACGCGATCTGTACTAAGTACCCTGGGGTTAAAAGCGCCAGGGCTCTTAGTGCCGGAACTAAGTACAGGAAAGTACTTGGTGTGAACGCGGCTATAGTGTTCTTTGTAACCAAATATCTCTCAGAGGGGCGTGGGGAGGGGCTCCTTATTTTCATCTAAAGTAACAGACAGAGAATCAGCACTTTTGAAACAGGGCTGAAACAGAGGGGATTATGGGTAATGCTGCAATGATCTGTTTGGTGTTTCAGCCAATCAGAGACAGGTTCTGTATATATCTGAGACCTATAATATATTGATGAGAAAGAGTATAATAGGGGACCTTTAATAATCCAGTTTTATGTCACATGATATTTTGCAGTACCAGCTCACCTTCAGTTTCTTGTCATTCAGACTCATGGTGGACTGGAACTGTGCGAGGGATATTGAGTTTGCGATTCGATTGCCATCCATGTACGGACTGCGGTTCAGCTGCTGCCAGCTGCTGAAAGTTTCTATGTGTCGACCTCCAGAAGGAAGCCTGGGAAAAATACGTTTATCATTCACAGTCTGATGAAAAACTAGATCTGACAATCATGAAAAGATGGCTCAAACATCCCACATTTCATTTCATTCACTGAGGGTTTTGTCCAACCAGTGTTTTACTTATTTTCTCATTATCAGCAGCATATCATACTGAGGTGTGCAGTGCTTCATACCCTGTAGGCTCGCATGGATAAGATACCCCGGAGAACGTTCTAGACATTTTCTTCTTCAGCGACCATGTTGAGTTACTAAAAGAGTTTCCTGAAAATAAAAATGGTATGCAATATTTACATGAATTTGCTAAATTTGCAGCTACAGCAGTTGCTTAGCTAGCACAAACTAAACACAAGAAGACGTTCATGTAAATGTCTAGACTAGCTTTGCCCAAGGGGGAAGAAATTAGCATGGCTAGCTGATATGTGTAAATCAGCAACCTGACATTCCTTATATTCCAACACAGTCTCACGGCATTTCGTGTTATAGTCACGAAATGAATCTATTGATTCGTGTTCACCAACACGATTTTCGCATTGTTTTCGTGTCACACAGAACGATTTTAAAAGCAATGTAAATAATAACAAATTTGAAGGAAAAAGAGATAAAAAAGAATTCAGTAATTCAGTATTCTGACACAGAACGATTTTAGAAGCAATGTATTTCTATTGGTAGTATATAGATTTCAGTATTCTGAGGCTCTGAGCCCCATTTCTTTTCCTCGCCGACGGCAAAATATCTCCGACATTATACTATTTAAAATAAAAGGGGTGCAGGCACGAAACACACTACCTATAGAAATACCTTGCTTTTAAAATCGTTCTGTGTGACACGAAAAAAATGCAAAAATCGTGTTGGTGAACACGAATCAATAGATTAAATTAATTTCGTGACTATAACACAAAATGCCGTGAGACTGGGTTATTCACCATACAAAAAAGGATCTCTGATATATGGGGCTATAGCCGGTTATCTTAGCGCATGAACTAGAAACAGGGGCATTAGCTAGCTTTGGTGCTGTCCAAAAGTAAAATAAATCTACCTACGCGCACCTCTAAATCTCACAAATTAAGAGTCTATTTTGTATGTCAAAAAAAGAACACATGGGTTAATGGGATTATGTGCCTGTCACTATTTCCTGGCTGGGAGCAGAGTCTTTTACGCATGGCCGTTTGTGTTCAGCTCTAACAAAGAAGATATACAGTGTTCATTAATTACATTTAAAGGTCCTTTGGAGGCAGGTTCAGTTACCTTTGGACAGATCAAGGCTAGCTGTTAGCACATGCTTTCAGTCTTTGCTCTATGCTTTGGTTACCAAATGTAACTACTAGCTACCTTTAAATAGCTCTAATTTGAACATTTCCATTTGTGTACAGATGACTAAAATGGTGGTGATTCAGTTGTTCACGTTTGGACAGAGCCAAATGTTAGCCGTTGTCTTTATGCTAAACTAAGATTACCAAGTTCTGGCAGTAGCTTCATCTTTAGCTATGCTACAACAGACATGTAAATGCTATAACATCTTTCATCTTAAGCTTTGCAATGAATTTGAATAAGCATATTAAACTAATTTAATTCAGCATCCCTTCTTGTCATTCAACACGCTAAGGTGCAGGACAATGTGTTGATGTTTGTGAGATAGATAAGAAGGAGACAGACTTATGTAGGAAAGCTAACGTGTGGTTTTTGGTGTTGTGTAACAGGCTGCTTTCTGGCTCAGACCAGAAAGCCTGACCATCTGCCCTGTCTATGATAGGGTGTTTACTTTACTTCTTAATGCAAGATTTGATTGGTTGAACTCACAGTATAATTTAAAAAGGTATTAAATGTACATGTCACCACTTTTGGTTTCTGGTATCTCAAAGAAGAACACAGTTTACAGAGCAGATATACAGTTTATGCTGTAGCAAAAAGGAAAAATAAACAATTTAATTCAACTTAATCTAAAAGAAGGGATCAGTTTCTTACTGTGTAATCTGTCCCTGACGATCTGACTGCGGTCTGTTAGCCTGGATCCATTTTCAACCATCGCCACATGGTCAACCTGCAAAGACATCACTTTCCAGCTCAAGCCAAACATTCAAAAAGATGGTGCAATCAGAAAACTCAACAGAAAAAACTTATATGGAGTTAATTTCCTGCCATAACTCCACAAACAAACTAAACAAGTTTTACAAATGCCTTATGATTCACTAAAAAACACAGTGTGGTTTGCAAACACCTGAACTTTTGAAAGAACATCATTATAACATTCATCTGTTTGCAATTTATATATATATATATATCAATATTCCAATTACTTGTATATCTATTCTGCACAATTTCTATTATATTATATTGTATCTACTTGCACTATTATCTGTTTTATTGTTGGTGCTCTGTTGGAGGAGCCTGTGACCTAAGATTTTCATTGTCATAACCAGAGTTGGGTGTAACGCGTTACAAAGTAACGCTGTTAGACGCGTTACAAAGTAACGCGTTACTGTAATAATATTACTTTTGTCGGTAACGGAGTAGTGTAACGCGTTACTTTTATAATTCAGTAATCACACTACAGTTACTCACATTGCCCCGACACGCGTTACTTCGTTACTTTTATAAAATCAGTCATAATCACACTGACAGACAAGAGGGGTTTCCGCTGCAGGTTTATATGTACGTAATCTGCGCGATTTGCGCGTCCACATCTCCGCGTGCAGTGCTGCATAAACATGGCTGAGTCAGCGATAACTTTCGAGGGGTGGAGGTATGCCCATTATTTTGAGTTCGTCCGAAGAATAGACAGGAATGTGACGGTGAGGTGCAAACTGTGTCCAGGCCAGAAGCTGTTATACACTGCTGCAAACACCACGTCAAACCTCAACAAACACCTGCAAAGAACACATGCTAAGGTGAAGCTAATAGCTAAGGACCGGACCCCCCGAACCCAGAGTGCGCCGCCGCCGACTCTGAAGCGGCACAAATTAGAATTTGGAGGACCGGTAACCAAAGCAGAGATGGACAGGCTTGTAGCATCCTTCATAGTAGAGGTAATGTTGCCCATTTGCACAGTGGAATCACCATCGCATCGTTCAGAGATATACTGCGCAAAATACAGATAGCAGGAGACAGAGGACAGCCATGGTCAGAGCTATCTGGATCAGTCTTATGCGACAATGGAAACTGAACTAAAGAGAACATTTGAAACTTTAGCAGTCTGCGTGATCTGCCTGCAGGGAGGGGCGGGCCGGCCCTGCGAGTAAAGTAACGAGTAAAGTAACGAGTTACTTTATGTAGAGAGTAATGAAGTAGTGTAATATATGACTTTTTTTTAAAGTAATATGTAATATGTAATATATTACTTTTTTTTAGTAACGACCCCATCTCTGGTCATAACTACACTCTAGCTTTGTACACATGACAATAAAAGCCGTGAACCTTGAACTTGAAAACACCATCTACAAACTAATGCATTTAGTTTTGCAAATAAAAAATGTATCTATCAAACAAACACATTACATTTTTCGTTACCACTTTACAATAAGACTACCCTTATAAAGGATTCTTAAAGGGTCTATAATTAGGTTATTAATTAGGTTGTAAACATTTTATTAATCATTAAGAACCATTTGTAAACCAGTTCTAACATAGTTTTCATACATCAGCACAGGCTCACTATTTGGCAAGATGACTAAGCCTTATATTGGCTACTTAGCGAGAATCAACTCAGTGAGCAACAGATACCAAGGATGCTGGCTGATGAAGAAGACAAAGTAAGCTAGGTAGCCAATATAAGGCTTAGTCATCTTGCCAAATAGTGAGCCCACATTTATATGTACTGCTAAGTCTTATATTGGCTACCTAGCTTACTTCGTCTTCTTCATCAGCCAACATCCTTGGTATCTGTTGTTCACTGAGTTGATTCCCCCCCCCCCATCCATCTTGATGTTTCTTGGCATCTCTTATGACCATTTATTTACGAGTTACTAACATTTATAACTACCAAAAGGGAGCCTTATTGTAAAGTGTGAAACAAATCAACATTTATTAATGAGTTACTACCATTTATAATAAGGCTTAGCAGTACAGATACATATGGGCTCACTATTTGGCAAGCAACCGGTCACAGTTGCCCTGTTTATCTCATGTCTTATAAAAGCTTATTAATGATTTATAAAGTGTTCACAAACTAATTAATAAATGAATTACAAACTATTCGTAAACCCTTTATAAGGGTAGTCTTATTGTAAAGTGGTACCCATTTTTCTAATAAATCACGTTTGTTTGATAGTTTTATTTGCAAGACTTAAAGGTGGGGTAGGTAAGTTTGAGAAACCAGCTCGAGATCGCTAGAATTTGAAAATACACAACCGGAGAAAATCTGCCACTTCCTTACAGAGCCCCTCCTCCAACACACACGAACGCGCACATGACCAATGAGGGCACAAGATAAGTTTGTGCACAGATGGAAGGCTGACAGGCAGGTAGGCCATCCAGTTATTTTAGCCGGGCCGGCTCAAATGATTGGTCGTGCTTTTTACAGTATTACGGCTTCCACAGATGACATTTTGTTATGGATTTTTTGTCAAAGCACTTAAGATATTCATTGCTATCGGGATGTTAAGAGCATTCCATGGAATATAACAAAAAGTGTATCTCGAGCCAGTTTCTCAAACTTACCTACCCCACCTTTAATGCATTAGTTTGTAGATGGTGTTTTGTATTTTCAAACCACACTGTTTTTTAGTGAATCATAAGGCATTTGTACAACTTGTTTAGTTTGTTTGTGGAGTTATGGCGGGAAATTAGCTCCATAAAACTCATCTGAGCATCTGAAACCAAACGGACATCATCCAAACACTCACAGAGTTCCTGTAGACATCTTCCACCAGCTGCCGGACGAGCCTTTCAGGAGGGGGAAGCATCGCGGCCCGGTGGTGAATCTCGCAGGTGTCTTGCACCGTCATCAGGTCCGTTCTCCTGACCACCACGTCCTCGCACATGCTCAGCAGCAAACCCTCCAGCTGGGCACTGAGCTGCACCGGCTTGGGGCAAACAAGAGACAGCTAAATGGATGACGTGCAAGTACTACAAATATATGCAAGGATGAGCAAGGGATGTAAAAGGGAGAAAGGTACCTGGTTTTGAGGTAGATGATAATCAACACACCAATACAGAGTCATCCCCACTGAGTACACAACCATCTGAGGACAAGAAATGAGTCAGACATTAATTTTTGTGTTTTGATTAAAGGGATTTGGTTACACACAATCTCTGGAATAGTTAGAGTTGCAATAACGCACATTCTTAAGATATTGAAGTGACTGTTATATTGTATATATTGATTGTTGTGTTTTTATGTAGGTCTTAATGTGTGCACATGTAAAAATGTGTCTTTGATTGTGTATATATAGGTATATACATATTTGCACACATATTTTTATATATATTTGATTTTTATATTTGGGATTGTGGGAAACAGTATTTTGATCTGTCTGTCTGTACACACAAACTGGAAGATTGACATTAAAGTTGACTTTGACTTTGAGTCATGATACATGCACACTTATTTCTCTACAAAGCACAGATTTGTCTTGAGATATTCTGAAGTAGACGTCCTCACAACAAGTCAGTTTTCCAACCTTTTCGGCTGCAGTACTGGTGGAGGCATTGTGACCCGGCTGGACCTCTGGAGCTATGAAGGAGGCCACGTCTTCATACCGTGCACAGCTCTTAAAGGCCATACTCCCATTGGCTGACAGCAGCACCGAGCCTGGGCTCAGCACGCTGAACATGTTGCCTGAACCTAAAGAGAAGGCAAAACTCAAACTAATGCCATTTACCAACTCAAAGACGTTCTTTTGGATACTGTTGGGAAAATACTGAATGTACTCTTCCAATATCAGAGTAGCACATGATAACAAAGGTATCCCAACTGTAGCTGTGTACGTAACCGGATGTATGATTACCTAGAAGAGCATCAGGACACACTGTTCTAGGCATGCTATGTGACAACGATTAACATGATGATTCAGCCTCTGGAGATAGACATATGACAAGCATGATAATTTCTGACGTGGGTCTTAGCTAATCTGAACTAAGCATAGAATACTGCTTTGAACTGGTATTCCTCCATCTTGTGACTGTGTAACTCCCTCTTGTATATCAGCATGTGAAGGACACTGTTCAGGAGCTAGTTGTACCAAATGCTCTGTATGTGATGACTACTTCCATTCTTGCAAGGATAATAAATGCATGGATCCTGATATTGAAGCTCAAGCCGGTGACTTAGTCTGTTTGGATGCTCTTAAATGTTGGTTTGTCAAAAGTCCTGCACCCTGATAAGAGGGGGAATTGGGAGGAAATGGCATGAGTGGTTACCTTTTCTGGAAATGTCCAGTAAGGCCTCAGTCGTTGCAAGCAGCAGACACCAGACCTCATCCTCATCCAGTGGTGATCCCCGGGCCTCCAACACTTCTGCCAGGGTCACAAATGTACCCATTCTGCTGGGAAACATACACAACATTGGAGAGTGGATTGCGATGCTTTTGTTGCCACTCGCTGCAAAAATAAGACAAAGAAATGAGCACCTGAAAAGCGTGAATTGCATCCCTTACTGTGTTGCCGGAGACTACCATCTTTGGTACTCCTTTGGTCATTTGCACTTAAAGTGGACATATCATGCTATATTTGAATAATATAGTGTAGGACCATACCTATATCAGGTTTATGTAGTATTTAGTGTCTCTACTTTAAAGAGTCCTCTCCTGCTGATGTTCAGGTGTATATCAGTATGTAGTGTCTCTACTTTAAAGAGTCCTCTCCTGCTGATGTTCAGGTGTATATCAGTATGTAGTGTCTCTACTTTAAAGTGGACCTATCATGCTATATTTGAATAATATAGTGTAGGACCATACCTATATAAGGCATATTTATACTTTTTTTTTTTTCAAAATACCAAACAGATCATGCATTTTAGCCATGCCTCATTTCGCTCAATTTGACTTTTTTTTGCTCTGTTTTTGCAAGGGTTGATTCAGTGAGAACAGCACCATCTACATGCCTGGCATATGTACTACAGCGTCTCCAGCGCTTTCGAACGGCAATGGCCGTGGCTGTCTCCTCCTGATTGGTGGAGTTGGCCCAATAGCCGTAGCGCCACCGTCCTGACGTCAGGACAGTGTTCAAATCTGGATCAGTTTTTATCAGATCCGTTGCAGCCCCTTTTTTAGAGATTTGGGTATGGAGGAAAATAGAGAGGGTTGTGTTTTCTGACACTTGGTGAGTTCCCTGGAACACCGGGGACACATATTCATGTAGAAAAGACGTACAAAAGTGCATTTTGCATGATAGGTCCCCTTTAAGTAATATGCAGGCATTTGGTGCAAGTTGGCCCCCGTCAATGCAAATTAGCTTCATTCCAAAAAGAGATTTGGTGGTTACTGAAGCGTGTTCATAGGGGTGTAGACTTTCCTGTGATGGAAGTGGTAATGGTTGCCAGGCATGGTCATGCTCTGCTCAAACTCATTTATTTTGGGATGCAGTGACAGGATGCAATGATGGTTCTGTCATGAAAAATAAATGGATAAGGCTTCCCTACATAGCATTTTGACATGTTAAAAGGAGAAAAATAAGAAACATACACACATGAGAAAAATGTTTTCACTTTACCTCTACAAAAAAAGAGCAATTGCAACCATCTACAAAACTTAATGGACGACACCGAAATCAATTACCGATTGTTTTGCAGACAAATCAAATCAATTCATGATACTCAAACCTGTCACAACCATTCTTTGTGATTTTGCTAGTGAGCATTTTTTCTATCAATTTTACCGGCTGATGGATATAATACTGAAATAGTACTGTTATTGGATCTTGAATCTTGTCGGGAGTGTCAGTTCTACAGTAAATAAGCAGGATTTCTCCTCAGGCTAGCATCGCACCATTAAGTAAATTCGCAGTGAATGTTGAGAGGTCAGAGTGTTAGACGGACGAGCTTAGGGTTTAGTGGCATTAGATCTAATTGGAAACACATCAAACACTTCGGATAATTGCTTTCCCCACCAGTTTAAAGCCATCTATACTAACCACAATTATTTTCACATTCAAACAGGAGGTTTCACTTTTTGTTTGACCCGATGAATTACTATAAGATCCGAAGAAGCTGCAGTTTTAGTTTTAAAAGGTTGTGGGAAAGTATTTGTTTTAGATGTTGGACACAATGTTTGTTGGAGGCAACCATTTACAAACATATTGGTCCTCTCAATGACACAAAGAAACTATTGCCTCATCAAGCCTTTGAGGGTTGTGGTATTTATTTGTTTTCTAACCATACCACTGACATGAGTTTATGGCTACAGTGAATAACCAGATTAGCATAACCCTCTGACCATCAGCATGGTTCTCTGTAATCTGAGTTTTCACTAATTATTTTGACAATCAGATCAATGAACGGATGTTTCCTCCAGGAAGCGTCTTATAATAATCATCTCATTACCTCTGACAAGGAGGTTATGTTTTTCAACCTGGCTTGTTTGTCTATCGGGCAGCAGGATTACATAATAACGTGGCCTGGTGTTTTTTTTCAGCTAGCAAAACATGAATGACCTTTCAAGCCTGAACCACATGTAAAAAAAACTGTGACGTCAAAGATTGGTTTGTGGACTACACTTTTTTTAGCCTCACATTTTTAGTTTTTATTGTTGTGGAATCAGAAGAGACAGGAGAGAAAGAATATACTTTTTTTAGGGGACCAGAAAGGTTACGATACCATTGTGTGAACTTAAATCACTTTAATCAAATCAAATCAAATCAAATCAAGGTTTATTGAACTTTAAAAGTTCCAAGACGGAAACACGGAACCAGACGGGGACATACTAAAGCATTCCCTGCTTTATCGTGACCAATGTACCAAATTAACATCCCGATGTTAGACGACTTGAAACTAGCTTTTGAGAACCATACACTCATGTTTATCATGTTGCATGAGGTAATAAATCAAGTTACTTTGGGTAATTTTCTTGTAGACTTCTGTCAGTGGACTTAGTTTGGCAACAAGTACAGTTGCCTCCTGCTGGCCATTTGAAATATTCCAAGTTTAAGGCCAGAACCAGAGGTTGCCCCCTGCTCAGAAACAGCTACCAAATTGTTGTTTAAGTGTTTTGAGCGACAAAAAAACAGTTCCTTTAAGCGTCTACGTTGGTTCCACATTAAGACGTAAAGCTCATAAACACACAGAAGTAAGAACAGTGACATCCAAAACCGGGAAATGGGACCATCCAAGGACAATGTGAATGCATGGCCTTGGCGGAGGTCTTCGGTTCCCGAGTTCTTTCTCATTTTGGAGGATAAGATAAGGAAAGCAAGAAGGAATGCTTATTCTTCTCTACCTTGATGACTTAACTACTTCTTCTTGCTTTAATTTAATTGAGAGTACAGCATTTGTGCTGATTAGACACCCTATGAGTCTATTTGACTCCCTGACCTATGACACAAGAACCAAATTAAAACAAAGACAGACACAGGCATGTCTGGTTACATTGCAGTTTGCCAAGTCTGTTAATCAGGTTATGTCTACATTTGATTCACGCAACACAACATGGGGTCAAGTGTTGCCAAAACAATTAGCAAAGGCCGCAGCAGACCTTTTGAGTTGTCAAAGCTAGCTTCTCTTAAAGCATCTTAATAAGTCATGACAGTGACAGCATGCAGAGTACCAGGACCCTGAAAATGAAGCAGCTAAATCAAATTAACTCATGATATATATTTGACAGATCAAAATGTCTTGTGTGAGAAATGACCATTATTAGATTTTTTAAATCACATACAATATAATTAGTGGCTAAAGAAATGCAAGTAGTTATACCCAAGTTTTACAGTTAATTTGGCAATAATTATGCCAAATAAACACGTATAATTTACACTACTTTTTTTGTCGTATTGAACAAATATAAGTGTTACTTTGTGTTGTTTGTTTCCAGAGATATCTGCCCTACTTTTCAGCTTCTATCTTGTGTGAGTTGAGTAAATGTTAAATGGAGGGTTAGGGTTAGGGTTAGGGTTAGGCTTGTTCTCATTGAATTTTCTTACATCCCAGATTGAAATTGTGTTATTATAGAATAAGTAAGAATTCCTGCACCTTATACCCCCTTATGCAATGTGCCTACACACATGTCAATGCCTACAGTACAGGTGTTTTATTGAGAAACAGACTATATATCTTGGTTTAAAGACATAACGCGGCCTACCTTATTTCATCCGGTATCTGAGGAGATTCTTCTTAAATTCCTTCAGACATCCGCCACTTTAATCCTTCTTCCTCCGATACATCCCCTGCTGCCATTCCACCACATCGCTTTTATCCTCGTGCTACTGTCAGTCATTGCGGCTGGTAAAACACACAGTCATTTTCCTTAATTGACAGTTCCATTGTCTCCGCACAAAGGACATATCAGCTCTGTAACATCATTTCCTCACAACTAATGACGTGACGTATGTTCCTGCGATTCTGTTCATTTTCAACTATTTTTAGACTTGGGGACGTAAGAACATAATTGGATTTGCAGGGCTAGCTAACGGCAGATGGGGCAGCAAAGGACCAAGCCACTGTAGGCGACACTGTGTTAATCTGAGGCTCCAACCACAAGTGACACATTGATTATCCCACTTTCCTTTAGGACCTTATAGATTAGGTTGATTGGCCACTACAAATGGCTTGGGAGATACCCAAATGTCACAGCTGATATATCCTTCCACATGACACAGTGCTTGAAAATGTGTTCTTAATGTTACTTAAAGGGAGAAAAAAAGGGATTTATATAAAAATTCAATTTAAAGAATTGACCTATATGTTCCTCTGAAGGTTGGTTTTGCTATTTGCTGTCTTGTGCGCAAACTATGGGCAGATTATTTGCAGTTTAATCATGTTTTTTGTCCATTTACCCATCACTTTATCGCCGGCCACATTTAGAGGGCTTGTAACTTAGTCTGGATTTACGCCTGTCCGTTTCAGCCCACGCAATAATTAACACACCAACATGCAGGAGAAATGTCAAGGTGATACCTGAATGTGCCTGTAGGCTTTCATATGAGTCAAATTGACACGTATGATAACAGTTAATCAAACTGACTAGCGGGGCTGTGTTCACGATTTTTAAAATACTCATTTGGATTAAGTAAACAGTCAATTATAACAAAAATATCAACATGCTATTATGTCTCTTCATAGCCTGGAAATACAAGTTACTCTTTTATTTATTGGCTTTAAAGTTATGCAATTAAAATATGCTGAGTCTACTTATATTACCATTGAATTACCAACCATGTCCCAGAAAAATACTGAGAATACACTCCAATTTTTCACTCAAATATGTATATCAATGAGTTGCAGTCTACATTTGCAAATCTCTAATTCATTAAACCTTTAAGCATGCCCTATTATATTTTGAAAAGTAAGCTATAGCTATACAACTGTTAAAGGCAAATAGACACAAAATAAACCTATAAAACATGCTTTCTTACACATTAACACATTAATGTAAAATTGGTAAATGTGTACAGTGTAAAATATATGAAAACAATTACGTATAAAAAAGGCGTATATTACAATATTTGCTGGGGTTTATTAGCTTTCAAAAATATATTAATGCTGCAACTGCATGATTAACACATAAATACATGGAAATAACTCGACCATCACTAGGTAAAAACCTTATACACACATATTTAATACATGAATATACAGGATTTAGTCCACTATCAGCGGCTAAAACCCTCTCTCACTGTACAATCCAGTATTAATATATTGGATATATATATTAATACTAATAAATCACCATATTGCACAGTTAAAGAGGGTTTTAGCTGCTGATAGTGGACTAAATCCCGTGTATTTATGTGTTAAATATGTGTGTATTTGGTTGTTTTTTTGTATACAATATCTAGATGTAAAAAGAAAGTTAAAAAGTAAATATATGTTTTCGGTGTCATTTCAAAACATTGCAAAACCGTCGCTTCCGGTTTCTGATTGTGGACTAAATCCCGTGTAATCATGTATCAAATATGTGTGTATTTGGTTGTTATTTTTGTAAATACAATGTATATGTATAAAGACAGTTAAAAAGTAAAATAGTTATTATGTTTTCGGTGTCACTTCAAAACGTTGCAAAACCGTCGCTTCCGGTTTCCCCGGGAACGCGCAGTGTGTCTTGAACGCACCCCTGCTCCTCATTGTGCAGCAGGAAACATCGCAAGGTTTCGACGACGTTGGTATGAAATGGCAGAAACTGTCACGGAAGCACAACGATTAGGTTACCCAGAAGCTACACATGTTTTCTGCCATGACCCTGGCATGCTAGTGTGAGGAAAACGGGAGTGTATCTGGAAAAAAAGGATTAAAAAGAGCTGTTTTTTCCTCCACACACACAAGGGGAAAACGTCCGGATTGTGTCCGAGCTGCAAGCGCCGACTGCGGCTGTTGGAATCGAACGGAGAGGGGTGAGCTCCATGTGGGGTTTTTATTCACATTAGACATGTTTGGGGTGGTTTCATCAACATTTTTGGGATGGTAACACGTGCATTTGTCTCGCACATGTTACTGTAGATAGGTGTTATTACGATATACATGGAAACCACAACAGCAGGTCTGGCCTAACTGGTAAAAGGCAACCAGACTGAGAGAGGCTACGTGTTTTATTATTATTTTTATTATTAATGTATTATATAAATTAGCATTAATCAGCATTATCCTTCACAGTAATCATTAACTCACTCGTTTTTTTCAGCAAAATACATTACACAAATGTAAAACCCCCAAAAGAAGAAGAAATAATAATATATAAAACAAAGTTACAATAAAAAAGAAAACAAAGTCATAGTTAAATGAATAACATACAACATATACATATACATAATGTTGACAGTTAAACATCATTTAAAAGAGAAAACTCAAAACAACATAAATAATGTACAATAATGTAAGTGGACATTGTGGTTTTTAATGTTCTTTATCATTATTATTGTTATTTTTATGTATAATAATATTTATATCATATTATATCATATATATATATATAATTGTTTTTAATGAATTTATTCTAGTTTATGTTCAAAAAGTAAAGAAAACATGTTGTTCTTGCATTTGTTCAACATGTTTATGAATTGAACAGTTCATTTCAAATGCACAATTATGTATAGATTGTTTTTTATCTCCTTATGAGACATATTTGGCATGCTATTATCAACACTTTTGGCCCCATAACACACACATTTGTCTCATACATGTTACTGTAAATAGGTGTAAATGCAATATACATAGAAATGAGCAGGTAACCAGACTGGGAATCCACCAGTGAATCCATTTAAATGCTAACACACACTTACAAACACACTGGTTTACACTGTAAACTGTGGTGGTTTCGCCAGTCACAGAACAACAAGTTACATATTTCAATCAAAAGCTGTGACCCCCTGTTTGTCACCTAAAGACAACATCACCCCCTTTGTAAACAAAAAGCCTTTCCTGTGTTTAAGCTAACATGGATATTTACTGCTGTGATATTGAGTTAAATCCATTTCTGTTAGCTTGTTAGCTGGGTAAATTCAATTCCTGCACTGTAAAAGAAGCATAGGTGGATTAACATTGGTTTTATACTGTTGCAGCATCTCTGCTAGTTCAATAGCAACACTAAGCAGATCAATATTTGGCCGTATGCAATGCTGCAGTCTGTTAAAATGAAAGCTAAATGGGACTATTCTTCCTTGCGTAATATTGTTTTTCATACGGTGACTATGCATTTGCCTCTATCTTAACAGTAAAGTAACTTAGCTTATAAAGCCAGGGAATCAAATGTGGAGTTTGTAATCTATCAAATAATCAGACACTTTAATAACTGTCTTTATTCAAATAGTCTGATCAAAGGTATGTGAGGTTGAGGTTGTCACATGTTGCAGCTTGCGTGTGTGAGACAGGTGTTTTTGCATCATCTATCTAAAGGCCCAGACACACCGAGCCGATAGATGTCAGGCCGCCGATGAGCGTCGTGTCGCCCTACTCAGATTGGTGTGTCCCGCACCGTCTTGTCTTTTCGGCCGTGCCGACACCTTTTTGGCCGAAAACCAATCGGCCAAAGGCTGTCGGTCAAATAAATCACTCTGATTGGCTGTTCAGCTTAGCGAATCAGTGCATGAGAAGCGAAACGGAAGTGAGGGACCCAAACAAACTATTAAGAAGGCACACACAGACGGCTATTCTTTTTCATTTTCATTTCAGCTGGACGCAAGAGTTTATTTTTCATCTTAGCGATCTGGAATGAAGAAACCGAAGACCAACGCACACGCTATTTGTTATTTGTTTATATCACGCAGTCTGTTCTTCTTCTCTCGGTGTATCACCCAGTCTGTCTTCCGGTTGTTGTTGCCTCTTTTTAATGACGAATACACACTACCCGCCGCCTGCTGGTAAGGAAAGTTATTGCCACTCACGCATGTGCAGTGCGTTACGTGCTACTTGGCCGTCGGCTGAAGTCTTTTGCGGTTGTGTTCCAGTGCGACACATGGCCAAGACGCAGGAGACGTGAAGCGACACAAACAGTCGGGTCCGTCTGTGTGAGTTCTTTGGTGTCAGATTGGTGTGTCTGGGCCTTAACATGTTCCTGTTGTCACATTCGGGTGAAGCATCTCCCAGAATGCACTGCACACACAGTGGGGGCAAGGCTTTCTAAACACCCTGCCAAGAGAACAGCAGTGGTGGTCAATCCTTAGAAATCTGATTCCTGCACCTTATGAGACCACATGACTACCACATTCATATCTGGAGATATTTGATACTGAGAGAGATATTGATCCTATAGGCTTGTCAATATTGGGTTATTTTATCTTAATGGTTGTACCACAGTTGATTTCTGAGGTCCTCCATGCTAAAATTGTCCACCTCTTTGTATGGAAACGCCATTAACAGGTCGGTTTATTTGACTCACGGTCGCATACTATATTCTGCCTCTTAGGGTCTATATTTGATTTAAAGACGGAACACACTGTGGCATGTGCTGATGAAATGAAACAGCAGCGTGCCACAGTTCAAACACCCTATCGTCTCTTTCCGCACCTTTTGGATGGTGTTCAGATCCTCCTCTGTGTGTCTGTGTGTGTGTGTGTGTGTCTGTGTGTGTGTAGTGTAGTGTGTGTGTGTGGTGTTATAACATTGCTTGTTTCTCTGTGCTTGTGCCAATGTATGTTTTGCGCCAACACCTCTAGCAGCTATTGTAAAGACAAGCAATCTGAATTCAGTTTGTACATTATGTATGATTTACAAACTGTGGGTAAACAGATGATTGCATGCCTGTATGTACACATTTGTTTTGATGCCCACTGAGTTTATCTTGATTGACTTTTCTCCATTTCACGGTTATTACCTTAAGATATCCTTTTGTTTTTGTGTCCTCTTTAATGATTAGCACCTTAGTTGTTTACGTAGCTGGATTCTCCCAAGTATTAAAGGGATCACAAGACCAAACAAATCCAGTAAGTTAGTTATTAACTGGAGATGCCGGCATATTTGATCTGATTGATTGTGAAACACGATGATTGAGATACGGTACCTTTTTGCAAGTTCCTGCACGTTTTCTAAGATGTACCAACGACTGCTTTTCAGATGGTTGTGTGTGAAACAAACTGGCTTCTCAGGTTATCAGATTGTTGGAAGTTTGAGCTTAAATACCCCTAAATAGCCCCTTTAGACAATCTGTAACTAAATGTGGTTTAGTGTATTTAATGGTACCGATGTCTGGCACTTAAAGGGGACCTATCATGCAAAATGCACTTTTGTACGTCTTTTATACATGAATATGTGTCCCCGGTGTTCCAGGGAACTCACCAAGTGTCAGAAAACACAACCCTCTCTATTTTCCTCCATACCCAAATCTCTAAAAAAGGGGCTGCAACGGATCTGATCAAAACTGATCCAGATTTGAACACTGTCCTGACGTCAGGACGGTGGCGCTACGGCTATTGGGCCAACTCCACCAATCAGGAGGAGACAACCACGGCCATTGCCGTTCGAAAGCGCTGGAGACGCTGTAGTACATATGCCAGGCCTGTAGGTGGTGCTGTTCTCACTGAATCAGCCCTTGCAAAAACAGAGCTAACATTTTCAAATTGAGCGAAATGAGGCATGGCTAAAATGCATGATCTGTTTGGTATTTTGAAAAAAAAAAGTATAAATATGCCTTATATAGATAGGTATGGTCCTACACTATATTATTCAAATATAGCATGATAGGTCCACTTTAAGCTGAATGTGTGCAGCTCGGCGATAAAAGCTACGACTTATTGCCGGTGGACTCATCTTGAACCTGGTCGGTAAAGTCTGTAAATTCAGAGAAAAGAAGAGCTGATTAGTGATATCTGACGACGGGTAGACGGGGGTGATGGACAGCTGTTGGGAGACACAGGTGTTAATCTAGACATATGTGTTCACCTTTACAAAAGCCATGTCTGACACTTTGTGACACAGTTATCTGTTTGACAAAAATGTGTTTTATTTTGTCCATACACCAACTAATTCCTTTTTTGCCGCCCACGCTATGCAGACAGATCGATTAAATCTACTTGTGGGCCTGTCTTTATTTGTCTATATCTATTTATTACATGGCTTAGTTGAATACTCGATTCTGATTGGTCAATTCAGAACACGTGACACGTTGTTAATCCAGAACAGACAGACCGCTGTCAAGGACTTATTGACCGTTGTTAAGGACGCTCACATTCTGCACCAAAACAAGTCCGGTCGATTGAACTGTATGCAGTTTGGCCGAAAAGCAAACTGCATACAGTTTGCTTTTCTAACTGACAAGACAAGAGCCACAAGAAAACAGCGGGAGAAGTAACGGGGCAGAACCCTCCTTTTTACGCAGCGTCCCCAGACATAGACATCAAACGGCAACACAATTCAGTTGCCGTTACTTTGGCATTAGGGCAGGGATATCTAGATACTTTCCAAGGTTTGACATAATGAATTGTGCTACTTTTAAAGCAAGCAACGATGTTTTCAAATCTGTAATCAAAAGCTCCGCCTTCCTGCCGTTGCGTTGCTACGTTTTTTTTTCTTCAAACGGTAACAACGGACTATTTTTCTTAGCGGATGCATGTCAATTTAAATCAATACATACAACTATTTTTTAAATCAATAAAATCATTTTCTAAATTCATAAAAGCATTTCAATTAATAGTGGGAGTCATATCGTTACTTTGTTGAGAATGTGGCCGTTGTAATAAGCGGGATAATGTTACGTATTAACCTATAGGAAAACAAACTTGATAGAAGTTCATGATATGAAACGCAGGAAAAACTCCATATTTAGAGTTGGCTGGATTAGCGTGCATTTGCAGTTCTTTTCTGTCCATCTACTAAATGATTAGTTGACCAATTGTTGCAGCTCATCTCACGTGCAGAGATGGATAAAAGGTTGTTATTCTCCTATCTTTCATTTCTTTACGTCTTTGTATAAACCTGCAGAACTCACTCGATAACCATCACACAGCTTTTCACTCATTCACTCTGCGTGCGGACCTGGCTGTATTCTCTCCTCCTCTAACAGTTGAATGTTGGCTCACACACTGTCCACACACTCTCACACACACTGTCACACACTATCACACACACTAGTCACACACTCTCACACACACTGTCACACACTCTCACACACACTGTCACACACTGTCAATCGCTCAGCTCTGTTTCCCCATGCAGCCACAGATCCTGCAGTCTCACATCCACCTCGATGTCTGCAGCTCTGCCTCCAAACAGGAGAGGAAATCATGTCCTGCTGAAGCCTAACATCAGCACACATACACACCACACACACACACACACACACACACACACACACACACACACACACACACACACATACTGCGGTGTTTAAATAGGCCTGGTAGAACATGACATGAGCACACACACACTCTCCACTGCGGCTTACATTTGATTTACTGAATGACATTTGCTGAAAAGCTCATGGAAGTCCCTTCATGTTATTTTCTGGTCTGTTTGCAGTCAGATACCAGCGGCATATGGAGTTGACATTTTTGCTGCTGCTCTGAGGATTTGATGATATGCACCATTAGCCTGGGTAATATGGATATATAGGGACATTATTTATAGAGTTAATATAGCAGGCGTAATCGTGCAAATCAATTCTTAGAGTCTGGCTACAGCTTCCACAATTGGTCCACCTAATGTTTTTGTTGATAGAAAAATGATTGCAGATATTTAGTTAAACGTTTCAGTAATTGTTCATGCAAAAGGCGCCGAAGATTCTGTCTCAAATGTGGAGATCTTCTTGCATTTCTATGTTTTTATTGTATCAAGGTGAGTGTCCTTGGGTTTTAAGGACATCACCTCGGATTTTAGAAACTAGTTTGGACATGTTTGTATTATCTTACTAGATTTTAGACGCCAAACGATTAATAAATGAATCTTATCATCTTGTAGATTGCATTGAATATGTGTTGGCATGTTTGAGGGTCTTCGAGTTTAAGGATTTAATTCGATTGACATCAAAACAAATCCATGGTGTTATGCTAACTTTTTTAGTTAGCATAACATAATCTGTTGCTAGCAGATTATGGCCTCAAAATGTTGCTGGTAACCAACGTTCTCCGCCAGGGGGGCGTCTTGCCGTCATTTGACGCACTTATCAGCGCCCTGAACTCGAGCCTGAGGGGCGTCCCAAAAAATTCATAATTTGAGAGAAGATCGAGAGTTTTTTATCGCTTGAAATGAAGAAAAGGAAAAAGGACAGGACATCCGTCTGTTGGAGGGGCAAGGAGTCTGGTGGGATTATTTTCGCTGCCAGCAAAGCGCGTTCCTGTAACGGAACAAAAACAAAATACCGTGCCAGGAGGGGTTAAGAGACGTTAAGAGACGTTAAGAGATAGTATAAGGGACGGCGCAATTCAAAAGTGTGTGTGTGTGTGTGCATACGTAAAGAGATAGTATCTATAAGGGACAGCTCAATTCAAGTCACGTGACACAACGTGACATCCCCCCCCCCCTCGGGGTGGACGCCCTCTCAGCCCTGGTCTGGCGGAAACACTGCTGGTAACTCCCTCTTGTGAATTTTGCTTCCACATTACGTGCATTAATCTACAAGCCTTGTTTTCTGGTCTAGATTAGAACTCTAGTCTAGTGCCCTTTTGTTTTAGTAAGCGTTTGATTTGAAATGGACATCATAAATATGTGTTTCTGTATCAGAGTGGATGCTTTTGAGCATAGGTCTATTTTGTCCAGAGATTCAACATTATGTCTCTCGCTGTAAGATAAGAAAGGAGTTCAGGGTCCTCCGTGAACCTTTTAATAAATCCCTGAATGTCTGCACAGTGTGTCTCTGCTGCAGACGGTTGATAAGGTCCTGCTGCGCTAACAGAAGATAACGTTATGATCAAAGTCAAAGAGAAGAAGGCAGCAGAGAGGAGATGAGAGTGAAGAGACGCTGTAAAATGTAGTTGCGGTTTCATTTGTTATATCGATGTATTAATCTATAGAAGCAACTTGATAGAAGTGCATGATATGAAACTCAGGAAAAACTCCATATTTAAAAGGAAGTCTGAAGGAAGGAGCGTTTTCCCAGGAATAGGAAGTCAGACAGGATGGCAAAGATAAAGAGAAGCTCATAGGCTAATGGATACTGAAAGAAAAGGGGGGTGAGTGGTAGTCAGAGATATCCAGGAGTCGATGGGGGGGGGGGGGGGAGGGGGGGTCAACGTACAGCTATCATCACAAAGCCGACCTCCTCAGCGAAATGCTCCAAATTCCACTAATGATTCCCTGTCTTCAGCATTAAAGCCAGCTTCCTGCGTCCTCCATCACACAGACCTTTGGGTTTTATATAGAAGTCATTATAGCTGGTTACATTCACACTGTACCATCGCACACATGATCTGCGCGACGCGTCAGTAAAATTGATTCATGATTCATAAAAGTCTTCATGGAAATACATTCAGATAAACACAGCTTTCAGTGGGCGAATTATATGGCTGTGAAAGTCCAAATGTAGCTGCCTCTGCCACTTTTCCATCATACACACGGCTGCCTATTATTATTTAATGTGTGAGTTGTCTACCTTATTGTTCAAATTAATTATTATAGGCTTCTTGTTCGTTTTGGCCCACAGTCTGCAAAAAGCTGTTTATTTTAACGCCTCTTCCTGACTGTTCAGACCTTCTGTTATTGAGAAAAATGACACCTGTCATCCATGCATTCAATGTAAAAAACAAACTTATTATTGATCATATATATTTTATACTTGCCATGCCATTATGCTACATAAGATTTAATGTTCTTTAAATGTGATTTGGGGCATCTGACATTAGTTTTCATTATACGTCAATGTCAAAAAATACAAAAAAAAATTCTAGGACCTTTTTAAGTGAGAAAACGACCATTTATGTCGGATGCATAGATGGCATTTTCCTCATAAGACAGGCTGTTTTTGGTGTGGTTTTTTGCACTGCATCCCTGGAGAGGGCTACTCTGTAAGACTGCATTGTTCACCAAAGTTAATGAATGAAGTAAGACTCATAAATATCAGTATTACTTATATGGAAATGCAGCACTTTTTTTTACTGCTTAATGCACAATCGTCACGTCTAATGAGGATGTCCACCAGCCAGGGCCATCAATGCAAGTCTTATGGCGCATTTTCCACCACACGGTCGGCCTCGCCACGCTCGGTACTGCTTGGCCGCGTTGGGCCTTAACAGGGCCGGCTCACTTCATGCTGCGCTTCCATTACAGTTTAGGAACTGGGGTTAGTTACTATAGTAACGCAGTGTAGGCGGAGCCGTGACGTCATCTTCATTGAGAACCCCCCAGAAAAACAACACAGCCGTTAGCTGTTAGCACTCAGAGCTCACAGCTCCTTATATCTGTTCAGAAAATAGACAAAAGTGTGAAACAAGTACAAACCACAGACTGCCTGTGTTCATGGTGAATACAGTCGCTGCTTTATTTATGTCTGTATAGGCGTTTGTTGTGAGTGTGGACGGTCGGAGCATATACCTGCGTTAGCTTAGCCAATTCCATTTAGAAAACACGCATTTTAAAAGGTTTTTCGCCTGCCGTCTGTCTGGACTTGACAAAGCATTAATTCATGGTTTTTACTAACCGGTATCAGTATGGTTACTTCGGCATCATTTAGAAACGTGTATTACAATTAAATCACGGTCAAATATGTTCATCTTGTTGTAGTTGTAGCCCCCTTGCCAGCGCTCCTCTCTCTAGTTTAGCATACTCAGCCCGACTCAGCCCTGTTTGTTGGCCCCGATAGAACCCCGGGCGGGCCGGAACTAGGCCTAGTGGAAGCGCAACCAAAACACACACACACACACACACACTCACACTCACACTCTCACTCTCACTCTCACTCTCACTCTCACTCTCACACTCTCACTCTCACTCACACACACACACAGGATGGCAACTTGATTCAAAATGATTTAATTCGCTCTAAAGAATTAATATAATAAGTTAGCTGTCTAGACTAAAATGAGTATTAGAAAGCTTTGCATAAGGGTGTTTAAAATTAATTACATAAGGTCCCCTCATTATACCAATCTTAGAAGTGTTTAATAAATGAACTAAGTGAAGTGTTGAAGGTAATTAGCTGTTTCCGAGCCAGACAGCCTGTCTTTTTGATGGATAAATCTACAGTAGGAGCACTTTGTCAAAATGTTATTGGCTGTTGTTGTGAACACTGGCAGGAAGCTTAGATTTTTGCTGATTTGGAAACATGCCGTATATAAAATAATGCTCAATAAGATCTAAATATAAGAACGACTAAAATGTTGGAAATTCTTTATGAACAAAACCAACTGGGAAATATTGTAAAATGTTTTTTAAATATTAGTAAAATGTCCAGATATACATTTGTAGAATATCCTAAAAATACTCGAAAAATGGCAAATAGGTTCACAAAAATTCCCCAATGTAAAACATCACAAAATAAAAATAAAACATCCAGTAGCTCTTTAAATAAAACAATGTAAAATGTCAGAAAATATCAGTGAAATTCATTAATTCCTTCATTTTAGTTCAGTGTTGATATCCAGTGAAATATGATTTTTAAAAAGTTGCATAAATGACATTTGTTTCTCTCTCTCTACGCGCTGCAGGTTTCGAGAGAAGAGCTCCACTTGGATGCCCAGTGGTTTGTCCACGGCTTCATGATGAACAGGAACAAGCGTGAGAAGGAGTACTACAGTATAGATGTGGGAGATTCAACGTTCATGGTCTTAAAACGCTACCAGAACCTCCGACCCATCGGATCCGGAGCGCAGGGGATCGTCTGGTGAGTTCAAGACAATGTCTCAGTCTTAAAAATAGTAGTTTAAACTCAAGAGTCACTTTCTCAATTATCAGACGTTTATCTGTTTTCAAATGCATTTCATGGTCTTCATTAGTGGCTGATGTTTGCTCAGTTATCTTGAAGATGATCACTTGATTAGTGGCTGATAACAGACTGAATAACTAGGCAAACTCTGTGAGATGTGGTTGTAAAAACGTAGAAAATAACTATGTAGTATGATTGTTTTGTCTATTTTGTTAGCTTGTATGTTTGTTTATTCCTTTATATTTCATTTTAGGGACTTATTGTGAATATAGCAGATAGAAAACCTGTAAAAATAGATGAAAACTATTTGAAATTCACAATTAAAAAGGCTTTCTTTGACACTCTAACAACTAGCCCGAATAAACTCAAGATCCACTTTCTCAATCATCAGCATTTTATCAGTTTTCATATGGATTTCAAGGTCTTCATTAGTTGTCTTAATGATGATCACTTAAAGGTGGGGTAGGTAAGTTTGAGAAACCAGCTCGAGTGCGCTAGAATTTGAAAATACACAACCGGAGAAAATCTGCCACTTCCTTACAGAGCCCCTCCTCCAACACACACGAACGCACACATGACCAATGAGGGCACGAGATAAGTTTGTGCACAGATGGAAGGCTGACAGGCAGGTAGGCCATCAAGTTATTTTAGCCGGGCCGGCTCAGATGATTGGTCGTGCTTTTTACAGCACCACAGCTTCCACAGATGACATTTTTTTATGGATTTTTTGTCAAAGCACTTAAAATATTCATTGCTATCGGGATGTTAAGAGCATTCCATGGAATATAACAAAAAGTGTATCTCGAGCCGGTTTCTCAAACTTACCTACCCTACCTTTAATAAGGCTGCATGATAACAGACTAACTAACTAGGCAAACTCTGTGAGATGTGGTTGTAAAAACGTAGAAAAATACTACGTGGTAAGATTGTTTTTTTATCTATTTTATTTGTTTATTCCTTTATATATAATTGTAGGGACTTACTGTAAATATAGCGGATAGAAAACCTGTAAATAAACCAAAACTATTTGAAAAGGCACAATTAAAGGTGGGGTAGGTAATTCACTTCAGAAACACTTTTTTTCGGTTACTTACTTTCAAATTCTAGCGCACTCGAGCTGGTTTCTCCATTCTCTTACCTGCCCTACCTTTAAAAGGTTTTCTTTGAGCCGGACTTGAGACACAAAAGGTAAAGAATAAGTTACATTTTCCATAATGCTATCAGCCAACAACAAACTGAGCCTGTTGGCAGCCACAAAACAACACTCTGAGTGGTCCCACATTTTCGATGAAGCCCATTTCATGGCTGCCGGCTGCTCTCGTTTAATACTGAGCCAATTTCTAAAATCGTTGTTCCCATCAGTCACTGAGACACAAAAACATGAGAAAATAGTTTGGAAAATACAGAAAATGTCCTTAAATATGGTTGAAATGTGTCTTATGTTTAATGTTCAACTTGTTTTGCCCTGTAATGGCCACAAATAAACAGCTTAATGCTTTCAAATGTGTTTTTATATAGCAGTAACCATCACCTTTCTTCAGTAACGATAGGAAACGAAACACACAGACTGAGTTAAAGTCTCTCTGTGGGTGCGTCTCACTTCTCTTATTTTTAATTTCCTCGCTCCTCGGGCTCGGTTTCACCGGAAGTTGATTTGTAGGGCTGTGCGATTATGGCAAAAATCATAATCACGATTATTTTGGTCAATAATTGATATCACGATTATTAAATACGATTATTCATTGACTTTGAAAACATCCATTTATTGAACTTTTAAATACAAATAATAATTTGAACAGTATCTTTTTAACTGTTGATTACCCTGAACGTATAATTCAACTGAAAAACCAATACAAAAATAAATGATACATTTAAATAAATAATATCAAAATAATAAATACCAAGATCAACAAATATTTTGGAGCGCACTTCAACAAGCTACTAAACATATGTAAATATGATAAATACAAATACATTAGATCAAATATGTTGCAGTGCACTGTCACAACCTAGCAAAGCAAAATAATCGTTTTTTTCGATTATGTTGTTTTCGTAATTGTGGCAGGCCAAAATCGTAATTGCGATTAAAATACGATTAATTGCACATTGCGCCATCTTGAGTAGCGTCCCAGTGGCCTTATTTTTGCCGGAGGACCGAGGAGTGATAACGGAGGAGCGATAATCGAGGAACTACCAGACCATCCTCCGGTGAAACCATCAGACACTCGCCCCGCCCCCTTACTGTGTATCGCTCCCTGATTGGACGATGCAGCGCATGCACTGATCTGGCTGCTGTCAGACGATCAGCTGTGCGGCGTCATCACAAACGGACGTCGCTTCACGTGACGCTCCGGAGGAAACGACGTCCCATTGCTCTTAAAACTCATTTCCCTGCTTCTCGTGGTTTCCTTGCGTCTCTCCATGCTTCCCTGGTGGGAGGGACTAGTCGAAGGAAACGACGCAAGTGAGGGACGCAAGGAATCCATTTAAAGTGAGACGCACCCTGTGTGTGTGAAGTAATAATCCTGTGGTCTTCATAGAAGTGCTGCTGAAACCTAAATGTTATTATTGTCTGAGTTTCTGCTCTCCTTCCTCCCCTCAGTTCAGCGTATGATCACAACTTTGAGAGGAACGTCGCCATCAAGAAGCTCAGTCGGCCGTTCCAGAACCAAACTCACGCCAAGCGCGCCTACAGGGAGCTGGTGCTCATGAAGTGTGTCAACCACAAGAACGTGAGAGACTTCTTCTGTTGTTTTCTGTAATTATTTTATGTGTAGTCTACCATTAGGGATACGTTTGAACATATTTACTATCTTATCTTATGTATATTGTGACTTCCATGTTATGTAGCACTAAAACTAACATATTCATATTTTAATTTGACATTCCTCTGGCTCCTATGAATAGAGCAACTGGGTTTAAATGCATACGCTTGCTTCAGACTTTAAATAAGATGAAATGTGATGAACAAGCACCGGGGAGCAGTGCATCTGAGAGAGAGGTAATAGAGGACACAGAGCGTACCCTGAGGATAACTTAACTAAATCAATTTGATCATCGTTCCTGTCCTTGTGCGTCCATTTGAGATTGTGCTGCATCAGAGCACCTCAGTGTCCTTGTTTGATGCTGACGGCTGATCTTGTAAATAACCGCAGTGCCCCGTCATGCAGCTTGTTTTAATGTCGTGTTTTTAGGCGTAAAATGTCCTGATATTCATTATTGATGCTCAGGCTGCTGCAGTTGTTCAGAGATTCCTCCCTCTTCCCTCCACTCTCAGAGATTTATAACCGTTTGTCTCCTCTGCAGATAATCGGCCTGTTAAATGTATTCACACCACAGAAGACGCTGGAAGAGTTCCAAGATGTGTGAGTATTACTGCGCCCAAATATCACCTGGTGTGTGTAAAATCGATCCAGGATGAAGCCTGCTGGGGGCTAGGATTACCTTTCTGACTTTTAGGGGATCAGCTGATCTCTCGTTGGTGTGTTAGATGCTGCTTTGCTACAGACACACAGTGCAGGGAGAAGGACTTCATATAAGACATACTGGATGGTTATGGCTATACGGAGAGACTCGTGAAAATGTCAAAAAAATTGTAAAATGTCACACATTCTTTCAGGAAAATCAACTCTAAAATGTCAGAAAATATGAGTGAAATTTCAAGAATTATACAAAAAAGAAACATTTTAAAATGTCCAAATATTCTAAGTAAAGTACTAGTAAGATTTCAAAAAATCTCAGTAAAATACCCTGATTTAAAATGTAAGAAAATGTTATTAAAATGTATTTACGGGGACAAAATCACTGAAAGTAAAATGTAGAAACATTTGACTATTTCCTAACAAACTTCAAACAAGCAAAGTAAAATGTCTTCAAAAATAATCTAGGTTTTCAATTAACTCTCCCACCACCATTATCACTTTACATCACATGATAAAAGCTCTTCAAGTAAGAAGAAAAATATGTAAGTATGTTTCATTTTGAAGTCACAATGACAGGACAAATGGCCATACTTGATATCAAAGGTGCGTTAAAACAAAACCTGAAACCATGACACACAATCTTTAATATGCAAACTACTAAATAGTGGTTCTCGAGGACTGCAGATTTTGCATTATGGTCTAATATTATTCTTCCATAATGTCCAACTTTTATAAATTCTGCATCACGGTGCACACTGCCTTTTTTAACATTAACTTTAGGTTATATTTGGCAGCGTTCCCGATGTGTTTGAAGTCGTCAGGACATCCATGAGTGGAAGTGGGATGGCAGAGAGAAGGAAATACTGAACTGAGAAGTGGGGGAAGTGATGGTTTAGCGGAGTATGACGGGAACAAACATGATTAATGCCATCCTCTAGAAGCTCTGTGTGTGTTAGTGTCTGAGAGATTGTGTGTGTGTGTGTGTGTGTGTGTGTGTGTGTGTGTGTGCAGCGCTCTGTCTGCCTGATTGGAGCTAAAAAGGAAACTGGACAAATCTTAGCCAGAGGGCTGCGGAGCGAACACACATTTAGAGGACGGAGGAAAACACTCCATCCTGCTGTTTGTTTGTATACCTGAATGCAGACTCGTATTACAAATAAAATAACGGTAATTATTGTACTAAAACATGGACTACATACAAATATCGTCCAAGCAGAGGTCCTACTTTTTACGCTCTGTCCCCAAAATGTGTCTTTGTGTTTAAAAATACGTCTGAAGGTTCCTTTCTCCATGTGTGAAGATGTGATGATGTAACAGCTGCCAGAGAACATAACATCAGCACCGATTTGAGACGGAGAAACATTACTGTCTGTCACTTCCTAAATGCCACGGGAAACAAGTGCTGCATCGCTGAGGAAAATGTGGTTTTACACTTATTTTCATATGTTAGTTTTACTAATCTGGATGGATAAGAAATGTAAGGCTCTCCGGACTGATGAAAAATGCAAAAAATATCTTTAAAGGTCCCATGTCATGATTTTCTGGTTATTACCCGTCCCCTTGTGTGTTATGAAGGTTTTTCTGCATGTAAACGGTCTGCAGAGTCACTAACCCTCAAAGTACACCCTGTAGTGAGTAAAACTCTAACACAGAAAATACCTGTCTGTGCTGCCCCAGAACGCCTTGTTGGACATTTCTCATTTTCCATTGTTTACTTCTTGGGTATAGTGACGTATTTCGGGTATAGTGACGTAACGTAACGTCTGCGGAGCCGTTACGTTTGGACCAATCCGCGGACTTCCTCACACACACACACTCGGCGGGACGTTGCGAGGCTCGCTGCTGCGAGGAGCGGGACAGTGTGAGCTGGCTCACTGGTGTGGGGTCGGCAAGACACCGCGGAACTCAGCCTGAGCACACACACAAACTCCCAGCCAGGCTGCGGGTGTGTGTGTGTGTGTTTCGGGCTGGGTTTCGCTGTCTCGCAGACGGCCACTGGGTTCACAGGGAGGGGGGGGGCAGGAGCTCCAACAAGCCGTTTAGGACAGAGAGTGAATACACATACTATACAGAGATGCTGTATGAGAAACCAATGTGAGTTTGGAACATTGCACAATATAAATGTATTTTAGTAGACCTCAACAATGGAATTATGATCAGTAGAAATGGCCATGACATGGGACCTTTAAAATAAACCTAGTAAAATGTTAGAAATTCTCTCTGAAAAAAACAACTGGGAAATATTGGAACATTTGAGCAAAATATAAAAAGAATATTAGTAAAATGTCCAGATATATATTTGTGGAATATCCAAAAAATACTAGAAAAAAGTGTAAATAGGTTTTCAAAAATTCCCCAATGTTAAACGTTAAAAAATACAAATAAAATATCCATTACTCTTTCAAAAAAATTATGTAAAATATCAGTGACATTTCCAAATATATATATATAGGTCTAATGTCCTAAAAGTACTGGTAAAATGTCAGTGACTTATCACAACAACAAAAACACATCACAATGTAAAAAGTCTATTGCTAAAATGTCAAAAAATATCAATTAGTCTTTTCAAATGCCAGGAAAAATATCAATGATATGTCAAAAAGTGTTGACTTTTCCCCTGTGTGGTGAAAAAAACAGCAAAGTAAAATGTCTGAAAAATAATCCATGGTTTCAAATAACTTGCCAACTACATGAATCATATTATATCACATGTTCAATGTGTTTAACTAATATTGTCAGAAAGAATATGCTGCCTCTCAGGTTAAATAATGACTGTGTTGAAGCCTCCATATGAAACCTCTGTGTATGTAGGATTGTCTGTGCATGTATGTCCGACTACATGCTTCTTCTGGATATCTTATCTTGTCTGTGGTGTCCCTGCAGGTATCTGGTGATGGAGCTGATGGATGCTAACCTCTGTCAGGTGATCCAGATGGAGCTGGACCACGAGCGGCTGTCCTACCTGCTCTACCAGATGCTGTGTGGGATCAAACACCTGCACGCTGCCGGCATCATTCACAGGGTGAGCACCACTGTTGGAAAAATATCACTCGTCACCGGCTTGAGCTTCAATCTCAGGATCCATGTATTTATTATCCTCTCAAGAATGGAACTAGTCATCACATACAGAGCATTTGGTACAACTAGTTCCTGAACAGTGTCCTTCACATGCTACTACTACAATGACTAATGCACAAGCACTTATTTCAAGCAAATTTTAAACAGCACGTTTCTGCTGTTCTGAGTTTTTATCCTCATGGTTAACTGTCCTTATTGTGAGTCTCTCTGAATAAAAGCATCAGCTAAATGACATGTAATGCCATCAGACAAGAAATAGAGGCTCTAAAATCCCTCTGAAAACCCCAACTTGTCATTTTTACACTGCAGTTTTTGAACTTATTAAGCAAAGGAGATTTAGGGCACCATGTCATTGAGATCTTGGCCGTACTGACAGTGTGAGCGTCTCCAAACAAACCTGCTGTTTTGGTTCATGTAGGTGCAAAAGCTCTTCATGCAATAACGCTTTATCAAGGTGATTGGATGGAGGAGGTGGTTATAAATAACATTTTCTAAGCCAGTCGTATCACTGCTCTGAAACAGCTGAACCAATCACAGTGACGCATGACGACCACATCTCAATAACATGTTCAGACAAGAGTGTTTTAGCTGTCTTCATATTTAACCCTCAGTAAGAAAGTGAGGAAGTGTTTCTCCTGGAAAATTCTTCACAATCTGATTTTGAATTCCTTGCAAAGACCATTCAGTCTTATATGAAATCACCTGATAGGTTGTTATGAGGCGGAGATAATGGACAGGTTGCAGTAAAACACACACTCAGGTGCTTGTTCACTTTAAAACAACACACACACACACACACACACACACATACACACACACACACACACACATACACACACACACACACACACACACGCAGCCTGAAGTGCCAGAAGCAACATACAAAGTATCCCTCTTGTATGCACACACACACACACACACACACACACACACACACACACACACACACACACACACACACACAGACACACACACACACACACACACACACCTTCCAGAGTAAAGACACAGCAGTAGATTAGTTCCTCCTGCTCTGCCAGCCAGAAGTAACTGAGCCACAGGCGAAGCTAACGTTAGCACGAAGCTTTCTCAAGGTAACACATGCAACATGAGTCATGGATCGCCAAAGATTCAGCTCCTGTGTTCCCGGAGGCTTTACCTCTCCGATGGGAGCTCTGTCGTCTTCCTGAAGATGCTCAGAGTTGCTAAGCATGGATGGAAAAAGCAGAACTGGATACAACGTTATAGGCTGGGCTCCATTTATACATCTGAAATGTGCACAGTTTCGCATGAAGACAAAATCACTCGAGTGCAAGAAAACCTGTATCTTAGAGTGTGTGTGCTTTTGTGTTTTCCTTAAGCCCCGCCTCCAATTTGTCACCTTACAGCATCGTTAAGATCAATCTTAGCTCATTTAAACTGATGGAGGTGGGGATATAAATCTGGATTTGGCTTTTAGAGCATTTTCCATCTTTAAGGACCTTACGATTTGAATAAGATGTATTCAAATGTTCGTATTGGGTAGTAGATATAGCTGAAAAATGTCTGTTTCCCAATGTTAGAAAATGTTAGTCAATGTTTTTTTGGTCCCAATTGCATCGCTTAATCACGGTAATCGAAGTACCCCTTTTTGGCCACTATGAAAATGTTCTTTGCTCACTTCCAGGGAGATCTAGGGTTCATTTTCCAGTAGGGATGTCCCGATCACCTTTTTTTGCTCCCGATCCGATTCCGATCATTTGATTTTGACAATCTGCCGATACCGATTTTTTTCCGATCTTTATGCAATGCATTAAGAGAAAAAAAAGGTAACAGATAACGGCTGGTCATCCAACGCGATGAATTCAGCTATCTTGGCTGTTATTTTGTTGGCCTTTTCACTGTTCTGGGGTAGTTTCTCTTTCCTTTTAAAAGTCTCTGAAAGTGTCGGTTGTTTCAGTGCCGTTACCTGAGTGGCCGCTGTGTACTCCTCGTGTTGTTGTTGGTGGTGTTTGTATTAGATTGGTCGTGTTGAACGTAGCTCTGTTCTTTCCACCACGCGGAACCTCCGCCTTGCAAACATTGCATCTGGCTGTTACACTGCCTTCGCTTTCAATTTTATAATACTTCCAAACTCCTGACATTTTCTCTGTCCCGACTCCCGAGGCACCAGCTGAACGTAGCCTCTCGTTAGCTTACTGCTACTATTAGACACTGCGCCCACTGTTGCCAGATTTGAGAGAAATAAGCAACCAGGTCTATGAAAACAAGCCCAAAAGAAGCAACACATACATGATGTTGTGTAATTTTAACCCAAAACTAAGGCCTCAGGATGACTTTAAGACGTGAACATGGTCATTTTTGTTTTGTAACATTAAATTAAAAAAAAAAATTCCGATCCCCAATTTTTTCGGATCGGGACATCTCTATTTTCCAGCCAATAATCACAAGTATACATGCTTTAGTGCCACTGCTACACGTCTCATTGCAGTGTTTCTATAAGCCACTATTTACCAGACTCAAACCAGGAAAATCTGTTCAAGTCTGACATTTAATTAGATGTGTTTTCTTTTGAGATGGCATTTTAGATGACTGGATTCAGTGTGTGTTTGATTGAGCTCTCCTTGGACATTTTTAAGTATTTTGATTAATTCTCTATACCAGGGAGGGATCATGATTAATAGCAAAGGTGTAATTATAAAATAAGAGTTGACATTTCTAATCTACTACCAACTATCACAGCTTGCAAATGACGTCTGTAATATATCAATAGGCAGATGCACATTGGCCTGGCAACAGGCACCGAGTCCTGTGAGGATTACCCTCAGCAGAGGGAAAACAAAGTTCCTCTTCAAAGGAAAAGCATTTTAAAATATCTTTGTTTTTGTTATGCATCAGGGGAGTTCAGAGCGTCGTCAGGAGACTAACGGAGACAATTAGAGTCAGAGCTCGTTGTCTCTTCCTGCAGGTGTCAGGTGACATGAAGCAGAACGTATTGCAGCTCTGATATACAAACACAGAGCTGGAAAATAAGGATGAAATAAAAAAATGCTACCAAAGGAAACCAAACACTTTGAAGCCACATCTCTGTCGGTAGTTGTTTTTTATACTGTAAATAAATAAATTACAGTTTCTTACAGAGGAAAACAAATACTAGCGTGGGTGGCTGAGTGGATAGTGTGCTGGATTTCGAATCAGGGGATAGCAAGTTCGAGTCCCACTGCAGTCAGCATGTCGTTGTGTCCATGGGCAAGACACTTCTCAGGGACACAACGACATGCTGACTGCAGTGGGGTTTGAACCTGTGCTCCCCTGGTCCGAACACCAACGCACTAGCCCACATGTATGACAATTGTTTAATGTCCAATGGTTAATCTCAGGCCATTTAAAATTCAAATGTGTATTTCAAACCAACTTAGAATGGATTTCCAGTGAGAAAATGTTTTATTTTCTAAATTGGACATAGTCACATAATAACAACAAGCATCTCCAAATGCCAAAAAAAAGAATTGCTTGATAATGTCATGTTTTATGCAGATATCTTTCAGGCATATTTATCCATGTTATGTCCTAAGGCAGGTGTGTCAAACTAAATTTCATCGCGGGCCACATTAACATTATGGTTGCACTCAAAGGGCCGGTTGTAACTTTAAGACTATATAAAAATACATATATAAATATTGAATATATATAAAATAACGTATTATATTACATTATTGCCTCTGCATTGGATTATTTTTCGGATAGGGTAATAACTTCATAATTAACTACGTCTGAAAGAAGAAGTCTAGGGCAAATAATTGCAAGTCTTTTCAGTCACAACATTTTGAAAAAAAGGAAAATTTTGAAAAAAAGGGAAACTTTGAGATGTATTGTGGGACATGTAGTTTATGGGCAACGTGCTTCTGTAAATCGGCATTTAACCGTTCTTGTGGGGCCACAGAAAATGAAGTCATGGGCCGGATTTGGCCCCCGGGCCTTGAGTTTGACACCCCTGTCCTAAGGGAAGCAAAAAGGGCGCAGATTTTGTGGGAACATTTTTTTTTTTGTTGGTCGTGTTTGTTATTTCTTCCATTCAAAAATTGCTGTTGAATTTTGCAACCGTGGGAAAATGATATCTCTGATCTAAAGTGAAAATGTACGTTTTGTTTTTCAGTTGACTTTGATGTCAGACACACTGTTAGCTAAGTTAAACTCATAAGAACAACAGGCAATAAGGAGAGTAGGTAAATACAAGATTTTAAAGATCAAACCTTTTCCTTTCTCCATTTAAAGCAGAATTGCATTGTGAAATTACATTGTGAAATGTATTGTATATCTACATTAAAAGTAAGAAACGTTCAGACACACTGGTAGCAATGTTAAATTCATACTCAAAAGGGATTATTGAGCGAAAAATATATAAAAAACAACGTCAAACTACTTGCTTTTACCTTTCAGAGCATAATCTCACCATCTAGCCCCACATGTGTCCCTCAGTGTCAACAAGCCCTTTAACTCTGTCCCTGCTGTATATAGACCAGAGTTCCCGTTAGAATATTTTTTTGCCGGTCAACATGTCCGTTAAAGTTTAAATCTTCCGGACAAAATGAGAAAAGTGCCGGTCAAAGGTCTTCTTTATTATTTATTGAGCTTTTAAACAAATTGATATGATTCGATATTAAACAAACTAATTCTAGTAGATTAACTACATTATTCAAAAGTGTTCAGTAACTGATAAAAACACGGGAATAATAAACGGAGCGCTCTCTCTCCCTCTCCTGACAGCCCGTCAGTATCATGCAGCTCGCGGATCCAGTAATGAGTGGCCCGACAGTAAAAATAAACATATCTATAACTAGTTTAGGTAGTTTGAGAGGTAATTAAAATAGTTAAGTGTGATATTCTAACCTGAAGTGTGTGTTTTTGTTCCGCTCACCGCTGCAGGTGATCATGCAGAGCTGCGTGTCGACTCGTCAGCAGCAGCTGATCTCTCTCTCCCGTCAGATTAGACTTCACTCGCGTTTATGTCCATATCGATCAGATCTAGCTAGTTCTAGCTAATGATATGACTACCTGCTTATTAAAAGACACCTAAACAATAAGCGTTGCTATGCAACCGGGTGAGGCCGCAAAGTATAGCGCAGCATTATGCATTTGTTTACATGCCCACCGGAACCCCGAGGCATTACCAACAGATCAACGCACAATCAACCCATACAGGACATCTCTTTCTCCACGTTAAGTGTTAGACATTATAATTGACTATTCTTGTCTGTCACATAAGTGGCGCAACTGATGCGGTATTGCGCTAAAGGGAAATTATTTTGACCGGACATTTTGACCGGAGAGATTTAGATTTGCCGGTCTTCAGCATATTTTACCGGTCATAGTCCGGTAATTACCGGCTAACGGGAACTCTGATATAGACTATTCTTGCACTATTTCTATTCTATTCTATTTGATTGTATTTACTTGCACTATTTTATCTGTTTTATTGTGTTGCTCTGTTGGAGGAGCGTGTGACCTCAGATTTTCATTGAAGTCTCTGCTCCATAGTTTCTCTGGAATAAAGTCACACTGTACATTTTACATTTATATATTCACTTGTTTAATACTTAATATTCCATCTGTCACATACTTATTTATATATAATATAAATATAAATATCTTGTTATTGTTAATTTGTAAATTCTACATGTATATTTTACACAAACATTTCCCAAATTGCGATCAATAAGGTACTTCTTCTCTTCTCTTATTGACATAACTACACTGTAGCTATGTACACATGACAATAAAAGCCTTGAATCTGAATCTTGAATCTTCTGTGTTTCCTGTCAGGACCTGAAGCCCAGCAACATCGTGGTGAAGTCCGACTGCACTCTGAAGATCCTGGACTTCGGTTTGGCCCGAACCGCCGCCACCGGCCTCCTGATGACGCCCTACGTTGTGACCCGATATTACCGCGCCCCCGAAGTCATCCTGGGAATGGGTTACCAGGCCAACGGTGAGTACAAGAAGCAGCTCCTTCTCAGCGACCAATGAGGAGCTCCGAAAGCTACTGCCTGGCCTGCTGCATGGGATGTTTTTCAGCACCTCCCACTGTAAATGTCACACTCAAGGGGTCCGGGGAAGTTGGCATGTTGGGCAGAGGTGCATTGTGGGAAACTTCCTGTCGGGGGACTCCAGTTCCCAGCAGCGCTTCAGCATGCGTTTGATGTTTTATTTAGAGGTTGCCGGTCCTGCGCTCCATACAGCCTGGCTTTAAAAACGCCAGAATGAAAACAGTGACTTGTGCAGTTTCTCTTGGTGCTCCGGTCACAGTTTAGGCAAAATTGTAATAAAGGAATAGTCGAACATTTTAAGAAATATGCTTAGTTGCCATGAATTGGTTTTGAAGACTGATGCCACTCATGTCTGTTTGTTAGATATGAAGCTCGAGTAAAGAATGGCTGCCATGCTAGCTGGTTATCCCTGTTCCCAGTCTTTATGCTAAGCTAAGCTAATTCTCTATAGTTTCTTATTTAGCATACAGACACACGATGGTGGTTTCAGCCTTTCTATCGAATTCTCGGCAAGAAATCTAACACTCATACTTACTGAAATGTTAAATTCCCTTCGATAAAAACATGGTTAAGGCTCTAGTAGCCACGCAGATAGGTGAACATTAGGTATCAGCTCAGGTGCATAATAGAAAATTAAGCAAATATAGATTTTTGGACTTTGAAAGAATAACTTTCTTCCTTTTGTACAGAAATCATTAGGTCGATATATAGCAATAATGCTCCTATGATAACAAACTCAGGAGAGTACCTTCACTCTCTTGTCCTTCCTCCTCTTCACCAAAACTAATTTTTCCTGCTGACTTGTTGCATTCTTTTGCTTATTCTCTTTTCCCTCCTTTTTACGCTGCGCACATGTAGTGGATATTTGGGCTGTGGGCTGCATTATGGCAGAAATGGTTCGCCACAAAATCCTTTTTCCAGGAAGGGATTGTATCCTTGAGCTGCTTGCAGCAGTGTCTGGCATTTCTCTTCTGAAAGAAAAACAACGTAGCACCGAAACGTCTTTCATCTCTTCAAGCTATTCCCTTTTATTTTCTTTTTCATCTGCCGGATCGCACGGAGATCAAATCCTGTGAGCAACGAGAGTCGTTCTATTTCTCAGATTTGCCTGACACCTCGAATCACAGCCACCCACCTGCTCTTCATGCAGACACACACACACACACACACACACACACACACACACACACACACACACACACACACACACACACACACACACACCCCCCGACAACTCACCGCACACACCTTTCAGCACCTGCACTGCAGCTTCAAGACAGTCACATGAAAAAGAAACGGAAATAGAATTGAGAAGTTTGCTCGTTCATAGCTGAGATCGTGCATAAAATACGCTTGTGTATCCTCAAACTGCTCTCCATATGCCTTTGTAAAAAGCCATAGCAGCAGTCGCACAAAAAGATCAATTGTTCCCCAGAATAACACAAAGAAAATCTGCCTTCTGATCGAGAAATATTGGGAGAATATGAATAATTTCTCAGGTGGATTTGTCGAAGTCGAACAGTTATATGAATTGCAGTGAGGATACAGAGGGTGTTAAAATACATCTCTGCAAATAAAACAAAGAACTTGACAGTCAGTGTCTCACTTTTTAAAAGCTCAGGATTCACCATTCAATCAACCTGCTGCAGAAACAATCTTAAACATTATTTAATAAGTTCTTCCATTCGATTTCAGTGTAAACATCGTAAATGCACGTCAAATACAATTGACATCTTCTTCCTGGGACGCTGACCGAGGTCAATGAGTGCACTCAACATGCATGCAATTCATTTCCGTCATGCATCAAACACATCACCTGGCCCCACATCATGTTTTTGTTATGTATAATTTTCCCTTCTGTTATGTTGTTCATGTTTTTGGGGTTATTTTTTCAGTTTGTCTTCCAGTCCTGCATGCTAATTTGGTGGTTTGTCATTTCATTTTTCAGTTGATGTCTGGTCTGTTGGCTGCATCATGGCTGAAATGGTCCGGGGTAGTGTGTTGTTTCCAGGCACTGATCGTATCCTTACATTGAACCTCCATCCCAAAAAACAAAAACCCTAAATGCAGTCCGTGGGTGTTTCTCAATGTCGAGGACGCTTGCTTGGTAGCACATGTCTTTCCGAGTCACTTGCTTCAGAAGCGAGGCAATAATCCTTCCTGGCATTCGGAGAACGAAGAATGGAACAGGCGAGCAAGTGTGCAGGTGTGCGTCATATGAGAGGGCCCCGCCTTACATTTTCCGCCACATATTTTGGGAAATTGGTCCGTGCGCAAAGCATTGTGGGGATTTTAAGACCGCGGAGGATACACATGTGCAGCCTCGAAATTTCTCACTACGAAGTACGCCGGGCTCGGTAGAATTACATGGAGCCTGGACATTGGAACAGTCATTCGGGCGGGACTCGATGACGTAGCATCCTTGAAATAGTGGCTCTGGAGCATCCTTCCTTGACATTGAGAAACACCCCATGTCTCTCATCCTTCTGTCTGACATCTTGTTCATATCGTTTCACACAATGGGGAAAACCTGCCGAGCGAGACATCGTGTTCACACTCGAAAATTCATTTATTTCATTAATTAACATCGGCGAATAGTCGCTTACCGTTAGGGCTGAACGATTCTGCAAAAAATAACCATTGAAGATTATTTCTGACTGATTTTGCGATTGCGATATCAGAGGGAATTAGCATTTTGGAAACTTTATTCAAATTCTTTAGAAAAAATGTATAAAAACAATAATAGTAGGATAGGATTTTTTTTTGTGTACGATCAAGAAGCTGAGTGAAGCAGATACTGTAGAAATCACCCATATAGGTTCATTTACGTACTCTCCTGCCGTGCCGATACTGACTAGAGAGTGTTAATAGATACAGCCGGTACATCATCAGCCGTGGTCATCTAGGCGTGACATTTTCAAAGAGGCCCTATTCTGCTCCTTGGGGTGTTCCCTTTCCGGTAGTGTGTTATATAGTTTTTGTGCATGTACATGGTCTGCAAAGGCAAAAATCCCCGTGTTCCCTTCAGAAGGAGTTTCTCTCCCACACACTGCCTGATACACCTCCATTGGACTTCTTTGTTTACCTTCGTAACATCCGCTCCTATTGGCTAGCGCTCATTGTACACATTGTACGTGATAATCTAAGGGGCGGGACATCTCTAAGCGGTTAAAAATGTTCTCTGTGACCGGCAAGGAAAAACACGCAGATGGTAGCCTAGGCGGTATTTCATCAGCAAATAAAATCAGTGTCTGTTCATCTGCTACCCTCATGATTCTCTAATTGTCACCTTCTGACAGGACCGCAGTGAATGGATTTAGATATATGAATAAATAATTGTTCAAACCATGTAAATACCCGTCAACAAGCACCATTGATCGCTTTTCAAAAATAGCTTATAAAATCGGTTATGGACGAAAATCTGTTGCGAAAAAAATGGCTTTTCCTCATTGTTGTTCATTCAGTGTTAAAGATGAGAAGAGATGTGAACCAGGCATGACTGTATTAGTCCTCCAGGTAGATCTGTATGTATGTGTGTGTTTCTGTTCTGCATACATACAGTATTTCCAACATCTGGATTACTTGAGGTAAACATCACCTTTTTAAGTTTATGTTGTGTCCATTCTGATTCCACAGGTTTTAATTAAATCCATCTCTTTTACTTTGAAGTAAATAACAAATGTCACCAAATCTTCTAAATGACAACGCAGTGCAAGAAAGTCACCAAATGGCTCTCTTTTATTCTACATTAGTTGAAAATGTTGCTAAAAAATGACCTTCCTCGACTCTGAAAAGTCGGCCCCTTTTAGTCCAAACCCAGTGCAGTTGTTCTCTTAACCCTGACCCTGAAGATATCGACCAGTGGAACAAGGTGATCGAACAGCTGGGAACGCCGTCTCAGGAGTTCCTGATGAAGCTCAACCAATCGGTGAGGACCTACGTGGAGAACAGACCTCGATATGCAGGCTACAGCTTCGAGAAGCTCTTCCCCGACGTGCTGTTTCCTGCAGACTCTGAACACAACAAACTGAAAGGTAAGCATGAGGCTTGTGCATCCTTTGAAACATAGTTTACACCAGGGTTGTGTAAGTACAGTACTTTTACCGCTCTCAAATACTTCTGATTGGCTGTGAAGGTATATTTAGGTGCAATTAGTTGCTCTTAAAAAATCATCTCTGTGGCTAAAAACTGACATATCAATATTTTCATTTTTTTCCCCTTTCGTTTTTTCAATCAATTAAGTTTTTTATTATTTTTATAGTTTATTATATATTTCATTTTACTGAGACACTATGGGATAAATACTATTCTTTCAATATTTCAATGTTTTACATAATTTTCCATTTTACCCAAAAAGTTATATAATAATATTAAATATTTTGCATTTAATTTATTTTCTTTTAAATGTAATCGATAAATTAATCAATACAATTTACATAATTTTAAAGGTGGGGTAGGTCATTTTGGAGAAACCAGCTCGAGTGCGCTAGAATTTGAAAATGCACAACCGGAGAAAATCTGCCACTTCCTTACAGAGCCCCTCCTCCAACACACACGAACGCGCACATGACCAATGAGGGCACGAGATAAGTTTGTGCACAGATGAAAGGCTGACAGGCAGGTAGGCCATCCAGTTATTTTAGCCCGGCCGGCTCAGATGATTGGTCGTGCTTTTTACAGTATTACAGCTTCCACAGATGACATTTTTTTATGGATTTTTTGTCAAAGCACTTAAGATATTCATTGCTATCGGGATGTTAAGAGCATTCCATGGAATATAACAAAAAGTGTATCTTGAGCCGGTTTCTCAAACTTACCTACCCCACCTTTAAGTGCTTAATAATACTTCAACAAATACTGTAGGAAATGGCAGGTAGGACAAACATAGGAAAATGTCTCAAATGTTGGTTTTATGGCTCTTGGTTTTTAATGGGCATCAATGGGGACATTATTGTCTTTAAACTGTCAGGGAATAATTCTGTATACATGTTTGCCTTTTGCCCTCTGACGCAGATGCCCAAGCATTTTGTTGTTGTTACCAGTTTATGACCGGGCAACTCTCGGTCAGATATAGTTATTGTTGTGGGACACCTGGAACACATCCTTCTCGGGGCGTAGATTATCCCGAGCCATAAGCGACAACAAATGTGATTCAGTGTCCTCAGCTGTTTAGTCTATCTATTGAAGAATGTTGATTATTACACTCTGTTAAAACCTGGAGCTACAGGAGGAGGGGTCTTCAGAATTGATTGTGGCATCTCAACCGTGTGGTCAGATCGTGGCCCGTGACATGTCTTGTGAATTCTCCGGCCGAAGCTCCAAATAAACCGTCAGTGTTTGCCATCAAAGCTCCAGCTCTCCTCGTGTCTCTCTCCGAGTCCTGACTCCAATTGCTTCAGAAGTTTCCCCCACAGAGGTCTTAGTGTCTGGAGTTTAAATACAAGTAATTTTAGAGTTATTATAGGAGCTGAGACTTCAAAGATACAAGAAGAAAAAGGCCGAAATGTGTTCAATATGTATTAAAAAAGCCATGATTGATGAACAATGGAGAACCCAAACATGTCCCTAGGGGTACGTAAGGGTTAAAGCCCAGGAAATAGTCCTGTGAAGAATGACTGAAAGCACTAGAAGATTAGAGATGGGTGTGAGGCTGTAAATGTAGCTCCTGTTAAGAGTTAAAACCATATTTTGGTGAATGGTTCCTCTCTGCCAGGTGCAGAAATTGTCCAGCCTGAAGGGGAACCATTGTAACATTTTAATTCATTTTTTTTTATCACATTCCCGAGGAGTAATGAGTTTTATTTCCACCCTATGTTTCCGTTTTACTGCCTAAAAAATGGACAAAAGACTCAATAAAGCTGGGTCTTTTGTGCCAATGTCGACTTTATCAGGGTTGACTTTTTAAATGGCTTTTTTTGTCATTTGAAGGATTATTATAATGGCTCGTTATGATGTCTCCACAGACTTGCAAAGCCCTAAAATATGAACTTCTCATAACATCAGTTTGATTTGGCATCTTCACAAACATCCGCTTACAGCAAAGCCCGAGTGACAAATCAATTTTCGTTGGCTGCCTAAAGATTAAGCACTTATTACAGCAGCTGACAGCTGAGGAAAAAGTTGTTTACTGCTGAGAGGAATTCACCTCAAGCGTGTCTTTGTGTGTAAATGGAGAGGAGATGACAGGAACACTCACAGCAAACACCACGAGGACGCAGGCGGACCATATCTTTCTGTCCTCATTCATTTACAAAGGCAGGATTATTTTAAAACAGTGTATTCCCCTGAAGTACTTCTGTTAAACTGCAGATTGTAGATATTCACATATGGCTCTGAGTGCGGCAGTGTCTTACACACAGAACCTTTCATACACTAGGATGGATATCCTAAAAAACAGATATTCAATGTTTTCCATCTGCCTTTCTGTTTAAAAAGCCCGGTTTAAAGGAACCTTGTGTAGGGTTTCAGCGAGTGTCAGTAATATTATGGGCAACATTTCTCCAAACTCAAGGTATTTGCACTATAATACACAATCAACGGTGCAACAAAAATGTGTTTTTGTCTATGTAAATGCATCTCCATTTCAACCATCTTAAGCAAAACTAGTCCAAATTTGCACTCCCACAGTTACACATTATTTTATTTTCTACTCTAGTTTAACCTCTACTGGGACTGGACAAATGAGTCCCTGTTTGGTACCAGCTGACACTAATCAAACTCTCTTTTTGATAATAATCCATTAATTAAACATCCCCTCCAGATATGAGTATACATAGAGAATTACAATCTTTGAAATTACCTTAAAAAAAAGTATAAATAACCAAATATTTTTCAATATTATATTTCAAAACAATATAATAATCAGACATTCTTTAAAGGTCTCCTATTACACTGTTTTTCATCAATGTGTTATAGGTCTCAGATATATACAGAGCCTGTCTCTGATTGGCTGAAACACCAAACAGATCATTGCAGCATTACCCATAATCCCCTCTGTTTCAGCCCTGTTTCCAAAGTGCTGATTCTCTGTCTGTTACTTTAGATGAAAATAAGGAGCCCCTCCCCACGCCCCTCTGAGAGAGATTTGGTTAAAAAGAACACAATGGTGCTCTAGGAGGAGATTCAGGGGATAAGGGGGGGGGGGGGGGGGTTACCTTGGTTGGTGATTGGCTAATGGTTACACAAGCCAAAACATCGTTATGACATCATAAAGTGGCCAAAATCTGATCATCTCATTTTCAGACAGGTTTTTATAGAAATGGATCAGGACAAAAAGAGAGAGAATCTTTGTTCCTGAAACTTTCAGAGTCTCTTTACACAGAGGGGACACATGTTGATGAAGAAGAGACATGAAGAAGAGGGGACACATGTTGATGTAGAAGAGACATGAAGAAGAGGGGACACATGTTGATGTAGAAGAGACGTGAAGAAGAGGGGACACATGTTGATGTAGAAGAGACATGAAGAAGAGGGGACACATGTTGATGTAGAAGAGACATGAAGAAGAGGGGACACATGTTGATGTAGAAGAGACATGAAGAAGAGGGGACACATGTTGATGTAGAAGAGACATGAAGAAGAGGGGACACATGTTGATGTAGAAGAGACATGAAGAAGAGGGGACACATGTTGATGAAGAAGAGACATGAAGAAGAGGGGACACATGTTGATGTAGAAGAGACATGAAGAAGAGGGGACACATGTTGATGTAGAAGAGACATGAAGAAGAGGGGACACATGTTGATGAAGAAGAGACATGGAGAAGAGGGGACACATGTTGATGAAGAAGAGACATGAAGAAGTGGATTTTGCACAATAGGTGACCTTTATTCAAACCTTAACGTTTACCCTTTTCTCTTTTCTTAACCCCTCCTCAGCGAGCCAGGCCCGGGACCTCCTCTGCAAGATGCTGGTGATCGACGCCTCAAAGCGGATCTCAGTGGACGAGGCTCTGCAGCACCCCTACATCAACGTGTGGTACGACCCGACTGAGGTGGAGGCGGTGAGTCCAGCCCAATGAATGGATGTTGAATACAACCAATTTAATGTATTTCACTGTCAAAATAAATAATAGTTTCCTCCCTGCAATTAAAACGGAAAAACCTCAAAGAATTGAACATTAATTAAGACATCACTGAAACTACTTTTCACACTTTTATAATGTATATAGTGTCTTAGTTTCTAGATTTTTTTCAGTAGAAGATTGGTCTATTCTTTATATTTTAAGTTGTGTATTTTATTGATGTACTCTATAGATGTATATATTTTCTACTGCTTATCTGGATATATTTATTTTAATGTTATCTTATTATATATCTCAATCTTTATGTATTTTTTATAGCACATTTAAAACAACCTCAGTTTACCAAAGTGCTGTACAGGGAATAAATACAATATCAAATAACACAATACAATATCAAATAACACATATTTACCTCATGTGTTCTAATTTAATGAATTAATGACATAATAAATGAATAAAATCTATTTAATCTTTGACTTCTTGCCTTCAAAATAAAAAAAATCCACCTTAAAACCACAAACTGTAAAACCCTAGTTCCCTTTTTGTCTTAAAATATTCTCCGAATGCAAAATCTTCTGCCTGTTTGTGTTTGGTGACAATCCACCTCTCTCTGGAAACACAAAGATGGAGCAAAGCGGTTTATCCTGTGATCAGACGGATTTGAGATGATGTGAATTGTTGCTGCCTCTCCTCTGAAAGCAGTCTTCAGAAAACCCAGCACAGCCTTGAGAAGTGCAGATTAGTACTCAGGGATTTATTATCTGCCACTGCGTAAATGCATCACATCGACGCCATCGCAATTTCAGCTCTGTGCATGCTATACATTTAAGGTTTTTTCCTATTTCCCTGAAAAACGTTGCAGAACTACTCAGCATTAAGTGGATTTAGTGAGAGGAGGCTTTAATGCAGCAGTTTCCAATACGCTGAGTCTGTAGGTTTCAGTTTGGAGATACTGCAGCACCGTTTCTCCCGTTTATCTGCTGAATGAAAACATGCATCAAGCTCCGAAACTCAGCCTCACAGCCAGAAATACTGAGGATATCTCTCAAAATAACGCTCATATTTGTGTATAAATAATAAAAAATACATCTAAATCAGTGTGGTTGCTAATGATTGACTTATCCAACACTAAACAAAAGAATCCTGTAGCATTGAGTTGGCAGAAAATGATTCAGTTGTTTCCGTAAAGTGGCATTATGTGGACACATTTAAATGGTTAAAAAGTGATATATGGTAGCTATGAATGTGACTCAAGTTAGTAAATAGATTGAACTCAGTGAAAGTGGGAAATAATATTAATAAATCATATTTTCTGCTAGTTTTGTGTCACTGATTTGTCTTCTCAGGACATCACAATTCTTATTTTAAAGTGAGGCACAAGGGTTATAAGCTTGTGTAAATGTGTTTAAGCAAAAAGGCATTTAAATGGTTAAAAAGTGATATATGGTAGCTATGAATGTGACTCAAGTTAGTAACTATATTACAGGGTGTCCACGGGGTCTTAAAAAGTATTAAAAGTTGAAAATTAAGGCTATTAAAAAGTATTAAACGGCATTTTCCAAGGTGTTACATTTTGTAGCATGTTTTCAATAAGTATATCAATTGTCCAAAGAGGTTGTATTCTACAGTTGAATGTAATCATTGCGTAGGTGTGTAGTGTGATTCTGTGTAGTTTATTTATGGCATCCCGTTGGGTTTGACGTCATCTGAACAGGACATCGCACGCTCACTGCTTGATAGCGCGCGATGGTCCGTTTACGCCGGTTGTTAAAAAACATCGTTATGGGGAAATGCAAGTTTGCGTCCAAATGGTTGGAAGATAAGGAGGAAGGACAATCAATACTGTATATAGTAAATGTGAGGTCAAGTGTGTCGCCAATGTAACCGGTTAGAACTCCAAGTGGAGATGAGGTCTTAAAATGTATGGGAAGGGTCTTAAAAAAGGTCTTAAAAGGTATTAGTGAAAGTGGGAAATAGTATTAAAAAATCATATTTTTATGGCAGTTTTTAAATCAGATGTTTTCCTCTCAGTACTTCAGAACATTTAACCGAGTGTGATGTGTGTGGAGTTTCTCCTCGATGTTTAGAATCTGTTTAAAAGACAGAAACAGATACTAAAACGTTGTCCTTGTTTCTCCAGCCGCCGCCCGCCATCACAGACAAGCAGCTGGATGAGAGGGAGCACACGGTGGAGGAGTGGAAAGGTAAAAACATCCTCTGCTGCTCTCTGAAAATCTGTCAGAATCTTTCTGCAGCCTGTTGCATAACAACGTCGCTCGGTGTGCGTGCTCTGCAGCCTGGGAGACTTTCATCTGCATTCTCCAACAGAGATGCACATTTCCCTCTGCATAGTCTGATCATGATGTTACTCTGGAGATGTTGCATACTACGTTTCTGTTTTATAATTATAGATTAATTGTATCCAAATCTTGTTTCAAATATTTGTATTGTGAATAAGTGTAAGCAATAGTACAGACTTCTGCTTCATGCTTCCCTTTTTCAACATAGAAGACAAACAGAACAGCCAACAAGAAATAATAAAGAAACAACATAGCATGACAGGAATCCATACTTAATGACACACTTAGTCATAGTGGGAAAGAACATACAAAATACTATATATAATACAAATAAATCAACTTAAAGGGTGCAAATGAGCCCAGACTACCCCCCCACCCTTCCCTCCCCGAGCAATTGTATCCAAATCTTTATTTAAAATCCAAATATACATTGTAAAGTGTTAACCTGTGGTATTTTCAGACGAATAAATAGATTGTTTGGATGTAATAAAATGGCATTGAAAGAAGAAAACACAGGGAAACTGAAGAATTAACATATAGTAAGTAGAGTATCATCAGCATAACACACATGTATGAAAAAGTGTTTTGCTTTCATCTAAAATGCAACAAGTATCACAAAATGCCATAAGAAAGTTACAGGGTTCTTACGGTCATTAAAAACCTGGAAAAGTCATGGAAATTCACAATGCAAATTCCAGGCCCTGGAAAAGTCATGGAAATGTAACTAAAGTTGCATCAAATATAATTTATATTTTATTTAATCGCCGAAATAGTAATACTATAATGATAATACATACTGTATCGTATAGTAATGAAACTTAAAATGGCATTTAACTGACGAGGTATTTTGCTGGTGAGAGATTTTAGTTGCTTTAGCGTGTAGAAGCTAGTAAGCCAACTATTTGATTTGTTTTAGATAGGCACAACATGTTTCAGACCTTATTTTCCTGTTCCATGTTAAAATAAACCATTTTCAGTGGTACCGCTGAGAAAGAGTAATGTTTTTGGTCATGGAAAATTAGGTAAAGGTCATTGAAAATCATTGGTGAAAAAGTGTATGAACCCTGAAGTTAGCATTTAAACATTTTCCTTACATATTTCTCTCCTTAAAAATACATAATTGTGTAAAATATACAATTTATGAATGATGCCAGCTGTGAGGAAACTACGTAAAGCAACATCCAATCACACAGTTGTGTAAAATGAAAATGAAGGAGCAGTACAGATTCGTACTTAAATACCCAGAAAGTCGACATGAGTGAAGTGCAGACCGCCTCCCTGTCTACATTGAGCCTCATTACTGTAGTTTACTGTTGTCTCCTGTTTGTTGCAGATTTTATATATAAAGAAGTGTTTGAATGTGAAGAAAGGACGAAGAACGGAGTCATCAAAGGACAGCCTGCGTCCATAGGTGAGTGTCAGTGTGTGAGAGGATTCCTGTTTAAGTGAGCTTGTTCCTTTTCCCCCCAAAGAATATACATAATATAATAAGGAGAAATACAAAAATGTTCTGAAAGGTCTTGAAATCTGTTAGGGGAATACTTAGGGATGGGTACCGAGCCCTGGTATTAAACGGGCCCCGGGGCTGAATTATTAAAGACCGTGGTACCATTAAGCTCCAATGTTATCGGTCTTTTTATCGGCACTGGAGACATGTAAAACATATATGTTATGTATTATTGCTACACAAACATTATATTGCAGTTTTAATGTCGCCAGCTCCATTTCTAATATGCAAAAAGACTGCAAAATGCGTCCATATATCGAGCCCGATCGTCGATTTCCAATGATTGAATGTAATTGTTTGCCTGACTGGCCATCGTAATCGGGCTCTTTGAAGATCCAAAAATCCACGGTTTTCTTAAATTTCTGATCGGATTGGCAAACACTTCAGAATTTGTATTGATCGCCATTCAAATGACAGCTTTGTTTTCCCCCAAAAGTGGGCGGGGCCGTACTTTTTGCCCGGAAGTGACGCATGTGTTACTCATGTATACAGACTTTTTGCACTACTTTTTATTTTGTATTTTTGTATTTTATTATATATGTTTCATTGTTGGAGGAGCTCAGGTCAGAATAATTTCATTGCCATTTCTACACTGTAGCTTTGTGCATAGAACAATAAAACCTTTGAATTTGAATCTGGTTAGCTGATCACCGAGCTTCCCCTCTGTCTCACAGCACAGGTGCAGCAGTGAGCTCCACTCCTCCTTCTTCTTCTTCTTCTTCATCGACGCCTCCTCGACCCTGACCCCCGACAGCAGCCTGCAGACGGATAGCATCGCCGCCGCCGCCGCCGCGGATGCTACATCCAGCCCCCCGGCCTCCTGCAGATGACTATCATCTAACCCCCAAAACATCCACTTCCTGGTTCTGGGCTGGGCCCCGCCTCCTGGTCAGACCCAAGACCACTACACTAGCCCCGCCCCCCTTGCATTTGCCCCTCCCACTTTCCCCTCTTGTGCTAGTCTTCAGTAGTGTAGCGATTAGCCAGCTAGCTGTTTGAGAAATTCTTTCTGAAAGGACAGATCTTTATTTTCTTTCTTAAAAAAAATAAAATACAATTACAGTTATTTTCTTTTTCATTTTGAGTCCTAGCTGTAATTAATTGTGGCATTTCTTAATATTAGTTTTTTCTTCTCACAAACCTAAGATGACGATAAGAGAGTTTTTATGATTTCACTACGTTCCGGTTAGTTTTTAACCGACCGTGAGAATTGAAAGAAATATGTGTAAAAAAAAAAACGTTTTAATGTGATCTATTTTTCTGTTGGACTTCATTCGTTTCACTCGTAAGCTACTGCTTTTACAACTTGCCATATAAATGTAGATTGAGTTTGTACAGATTTTATGGTATATGTAGTTTTATCTTCAATACGAGTTGCAGTGAGCCATTGAAACATAATCGAATTGACAGACGTATGATCTTAGTACTCCCCTTATCTATGGATATCTTTTGAGTGCTTATGACATATCCTAAAACATGTTTTTCTTTTCTTGTGAGTCACTACTACTTCCTACATTGTAAACATGTGATGAAAGCTTTATAATTTACTCTTCCTGTTCCGATAATAGGGTTTCAAAAGGATTTTTCACTCAGCATATGATTCTGCATTTACGCTAAGGGATTGAGAATGACACAGTTAGGTTTCGCGAGATATAACTTGGGGCTTTTTGAAGACCGTCTTCTGTATTTTTAAAGTGCTTTAAAGTCTTTTTGTGTGCAACAGGCTAATGGATCTGGATCGATGGTTTTGCCTTTTTAGCGTGGGTTGAGCTTTCGGGCTTGCTTTGACAAGTGATTTGTCGCTAAAAGTAAAGAATGTTTTTTTTGTTGGAGGTTTATTGAGACGTAGGTGAGTTGTGCGAGGTTGTAAAATCGGTGATGGTGTAAGTATGTGCTTCAGTAAAGTAGGGATTTGTGATTTATGGGAAAGCATGTGAACGTGACAACGTTTATCGAGGGATAGTGATTCTGCAGCCTGATGGTAAAAAAAAACCTCAACCATATCCTGTTATTAGTAATGTAGTCAATTTGGAATTTAAAGAGTGATTTTTCTTAAGGATGGCCAAACACTTTGCGTACCAGACTTGCCTGCAATTGTGAAAAAATAACCTAGCACGACCAACGAGAGTCAAAAGAAACACATTATTCTTACGGTATGCAATAATCGTGCCCTTGTTTCTTTAATTTAGCTTTGAAAGGAAAAGTGCCTGTTTGTCATTCATTCCTGAGTACGTCGGAGGAATTCATTGCATTATGTTTTAATGGTTAAAACGGTGGTTTCCATATTAAAACCGATAATGTATGACAGGGTTGTAGTTCACACAAAATGTGTCGTATATTTTTCTACTTGTTTTGGTTTCGACCCTTTGAGCGGGAGACCGCAGCGTCTTGCAGGGTAAGAAGGTGAGGGCGAATACGTTGAGTAATTTCAGGAGAAAAAAGGCAGTTTTATCAAGGTCTTTCATCAAAGTATGTTTCTTTGCAGTGACAACAACCGAAATATATGTTAATAACCGTGTCTTGGCTTTTCTATGAGGACTAATTTAATGTGATGATTGTAAGAGAAGAATGAACAGGATGGGTTTAAATTCAATTACTGGATCAAACTAAATGAGGGAACTTCGCGACTGCATTTTTGTCAGTATTTAGTGGATACCATTTTAAATTAGCAGAATAATGCTTTAGTAATCAACATATATCTGAGATACAGAGCCAAACAAAAAAAAAGTAACACTTGTGGTATTTAACCATAGTAACTCAAGTTTAAACAAGCCATATGAAATACAAGCTATCTAGAAAAGTAGTGTAATGGATCATGAATATAATGGTCCTAAACAAATAAAACAAAGGCTTACATGGTATTTTCAATATTTACTTTTTGTTAGGCTTATTGCAGTTTAATGCATACGTTCTGCCTGCTTGAAATGTTTGCAAAACTAACTTGTTATTTGTAAGAGGCTGAGTTAGGGTTTGTATACTGTCTCAAACTGTCCTGCTCTTTGATAACGACTCTTTGCTCAAAGCAAACTTGCAAGTAAGTCTTTAGACTGCAATATAATATGCTGTTAAAAAAAAAACTTGTAACTGTCTGCCAAATATAAAAGGCTAAACAAACTATTCAAACTATTCATTTTAAATGTTTGTTTCTCAAATTCTGCCGCACTTTTGCTCCTTTTCAAGCTCTGGACACCAGCAATTCGTTAAAATTGGTAAAACGTTTTAACTAACTAGTTTAAAACGTGTTAAGTTTATCGGGTTGCACCATTACAACTTAACAAACGTGTTGATAGGCAGATATAATGTTAACATATATCAGCAAGCTAACGTTAGCTTTGTCACTGAGCTATATAACGTTAACATTTATTACAGTATATCAGCTAGCTCACGTTAGCTGTGTTACTTAGCTACACAACAGTTAACATTTGATAAATTGACAAACCATCGTTAGATTACTCTCTAAACTATATAATGTTAACATTTACTACAGTATATCAGCTAGCCACGATAGCTTTGTTACTTAGCTACACAACAGTTATCATCTGATATATTAACAAACGTTAGCTTTCTCCCTAAGCTATATCATGTTAACATTGTATATATGAGCAAGCTAACGTTAGCTTCGTTACTGAGCTACGCAACAGCTAACATTTGTTACGGAATGCTAATTATAGCTATGTCAGTTAGCTACACAAGAGTTAACATGGAATATTAGCAGGCTAACGATAGCTCTGTGTGAGAACTAGCTTATGTGGTGCAACCTGTTATAATCTTTTTTTATTTTGTGTTTAAATCTTTACTCTTCTTGATAAAACTAGTTTGAATTTATGAACAGCTGGTGTCATTGTCCTGTTTTTTGGTATTCAGAATTAAAAAGGAAAGATTTGGCTAGTAGCCTAAAGTGCAAGGGCAGATTAGTACAGTACAAAGCTAAATTCAATCTGCAGTCACTTAGTGCAGATCCCAACAGCAGTAACACAATTATCCAGTAGTGTGCAGAAATGTTAAATGATGTCTCACATATGTAAGAAGGCAGGGAGAAAATCAGTGGTGTGTTTCCATTTGTCATATTAGCCCATTTGTCATATTAGCTAAAATAATCAATCAGAAAAAAACACTTTTGTGTAAAGTGCTCTTTATTTCGTTAGCCCAATATTAGGGGCTTTAATTTGAATATTTTTTTGTGGTTTTTATTTTATTTTTCTTAGGTTGTTGTTGCTTTTTTTAAATTACAATTACCGCATCTCTCCAAACTATGTCATTCTGATTTAAGTCGGCTTTGATGAACTACCTCACGCTGAATTTCTGCCCGTTCTTGCATATACTTAGTCGCCTGCAGAATTAGCTATCGAAGACGTGTGAATAACAGATTCCATTATTTATTTATTTGAAAGTGTACTATTTGTCGGTTTCAACAGACTTCTAGTTTTGTACATTATGTATACTTCACCTAGAAGTAAAGAGAATTGTTATATGTATTTTTTTTGGTTCTTTTATTTTGGTTTGTTTTTTAGTTTTTAAACTAAATGTGCAATACCTTCAGCAAACTGTGCTAGTAGTGTGTGATGGGCCTAGCCTTTTGTTAGCTGTCTCCTGAAGGTAAAGAAAATGTTTGGTACTGTCAATCCATGTTTTCCTTTTTTATGAATAAGATCAATTTTTATTTCTGTGACTTGTTTATATAGTCATGATGTTACGTAATCAGTCTTACCCGCCAAATAAAATCTGTCGGCCCGAGGTTTGACGCAGAGACAGGAAGTTCTCTGCGTCACAACAAGGCCAACAGGTTTCTGATTTGCAGTGTGGTAAGGACAATAATGTTAATAAACACAAAAAAGATGAGTAAATACCTACAAGAAATCATTATATGTATGGTGCTGGTTTGTAATGTTTGCTAGTGAATCCAGCCATGCAAGTAGTTTTAAGAATTCCTGGATCTGCGCGTCCCAAAAAAAACGCAACCAACGAAGAAGTGCACTACTAGAATACATGCACTAGGATCTGATGATGCCACCTCCTAAAAAAAACAAAAAAAAACATGTACTGCAAATAAAAGAAATACACTTTGAATTATTGTTGTATGTCTTATTTCCTACAGTCACAAGAAAACCCAACATACTTTAGTACCATTTCGGTGGCTTGTAATGGTTTTTAAATAATGTTAAAACAATGTACATTGGCAGTGCACTGTTATATGATCATAATGTGTATTACTACATGCATTTACTCCTTTTTGTGCAACGTTAGCTTAAAGTGCTTTTGATAATCTATTTAGATAACAAACAATAGATTATGTATTTGTTGACAGAGTTAAATTATTTATATATGAACAAATGCTTGGAGTTTAGTGTCACAGACAGAGGAAGGAAGTAAATGGTAACTACACATGCTTATCATATATTTTGGTGATGGATTAATTGACCTTTGGACAGTGTATTCTGACATAATATGGGCTGTAATCGTAAAGGCCAGTTTTTGGATCAAAGGAGTGCTGTCCTCCAGTTGGAAGATCGTCGGTTCTGATGTCTACATGTGGATGCATCGTTGTTAAAGGTAGGACCGTGTGTGTGTGTGTGTCCTAGCATTACTATCCTTGTGGGGACCTACATCTGTTTACACAGTCATGTGTGGGGACTCGCCTCCCTTATGGGGACATAAGGGAGGTACCCATGAGGGGAATCATTCATTTTAGGGTGAAGACTTGGTTAGGGTTAGGCATGTGTTGGTTAAGGTTAGGATAAGTCTCCAGGAATTGCATGTAAGTCAATGTAATGTCCCCTGAAGTGATGTGTGTGTGTGTGAATATTAGCCTCCCTATGCAGGTGGCACCTCGTTGAGCAGCTTTTGTATGAATGAGTGAATGCTGACTCATACTGTATACGTCAGAGGGGTCACAAAGACAGGCAATATAAATGCAGTCCATTTAACATTTTAAATTGTTCTACAAATGCAGAATGAATAGCCTCCTTTTCACTTCTCTACTGGAATGTGTTTGGGAAAGTGTCTAATTGAAAAATTATGTGGTTAGCATATCCTTTAACACCTACATTTATTTAAGTAAAAGTGGGAGAGTTCATTATATACATTTTTAATTTACAAACATTGAATTATTGGTCATGTTTTTAATCTCTGTAATGCATTCCCTAACATTTTAAGGTAAAAAAAACGTAAACTTTTTTCATATCCAAGTAAATAACTTTGAACAAAAGGGTGTACTCTGTATACTGAAGCTACTTTTGTCTCCCTTCCTTTGGCATCTTAAAGCAAGACGTTGATGTACACATGTTTCCTTTGTCACCTTTATTCCCATACATGTCCATTCATTACAATAGTGGAAATCCATAATAAATAAGCACCATAGATAATCAGCAGAGCAGTAAGAAACACTGAGCCACAGTTGTGATACATAAAGGGTAATACATGCCCTCTGTTGGAATTAAAGAACCTGCAATAGATTGAGACCATCATAGCGTGGAGTGGAGGAAAAGTACCTTGTAAACCATTGGCTTTGTTTCTTTATAAAATATAAAAAAGGAAAAGAAAATACAGTCACATTGTCTAACCAAATGCACATTTTCACTTGTAATTTGTCTCGCAGTTTAACAAACAAGCATCACTTCGGCACATTCGTACGATTGGTGATAAGATGCTAAAAATAAAATGTTTTAACAATTTGATCACATGCAATTCTCACAAAAGAGATATCTGCAAATCTTCATTTTGGAAACATATATCTAAGTTTTCAATTAACCAGATCACAGCTAGCTGATGTGATGCAGGCCTGTGTGATGCACCACAGTTCCAGGAAGTAAGACAATAGATGAACTGAACACCATCATTGATAACTAATCTCCCATCCTTTTTAAATTGTATTTTTTCCATAGGGCTGGTTTCATTAACGACACATTACATTCACTACAATGATACATTCTCAATTCAAAACTTCCATTCAATTCACAAGTCACTTTCACAAGAATTGGCACCTTCTATAGGGATATCGTGTTATTCGTAATCAGCAGTCTGTTGCCAAATGATAAAAAGAAAAGAAAAATCAATGCAGCCACGGTGTACTATAAGGTGAATATATGCACTACATCTCTGGACAAGCAAGCAACACTACATTTCTATTTAAAATCACTTCCCTGAAGGCACGACCAGGAAATTCCATTGTTTCTTTGAGGGCAGTGTTCAGCTTCATGTGCCAAAATCAACATGGCTTCCAGGCAGGCCATTCTGATCTTCAGTGGTCCAGCTTTGGTATGTACTGTAATGGCCTCCTGTGTTATAGGCAGCATGCGCTACAGTGAAAATGCTTCAATAATTGTTTCCCGTTATCCCTGTTGTACGGTAAAGGTATTTTGACATCTGTGTGGATCGGAGTGACCCCGGAGACTGAGGCTTTTCCCATCAAAATGCAGATGGTGACGAGGAGTCGAGGCACTGGAAGGGCCTGAGGAAAAAGAAGCAGCTTTTTGCAGAGCTTCCACCTATTACTGCTCCAAAGGAATCATCTAGTTTGACCCACTTGCTTTCGTGTTTTGATGAACAAACTTCCAGAGTAAAACATCCATACTTGCAGCACAAATATACTATAAATGCAAGTGGAAACCCTCTGCTAAAGCTATCACAGTTAACCGGTCAGTTCACTCAGATTACCAAAAACACATTTTCCCATGTAACTCTAGTGGTGCCTAGCAGTGCAGATAACTTGTGTTTTATTTGGACACGTTTTGTTGTGCTCAAATTCAAGCATGTTAAAGCTTTTGCTCACCAAGAGGTTCGTTGTTTTTAGATTTTCCTCAATCTGCCTTTACAAAGTTGACCACTGTTTCGTAACTTCAAAAACCAAGCAATTTGATAGCTACCATAACAGGCAAGGGAGAAAATATACTGTTTTTTTAATTTAGGTGAACTGACTTTACAGTTAATACAGCTTTATATTTTAGGAAATACTTCATTCATTAGCCTTATGGTGAGAGTTAGAAGATTAGATTGACATTATTCTCATGTCTGTAGGATACATTTAAAGCCACAGCAAGTAGCTCGTTAGCCTAGCTTATCATAAAGGTAGAAGATAGTGTTAGCTTAGCTTAACATAAATATAGAAAACAGTGGAAAGAGTGAGCCTAACATGTTAATAAATCTGCTTTAGAACTGTTGGTTGGCAGACTTAAATGCTATGCTAGCCCTTTTTCCAGTTTTCTATCTCTTATTAAAGCTAAGCTAACTGTAGCTACATATCAATCCAACAGACAATAATATTCTCTCGTCTCACTCTCAGCAAGAAGGCAAATAAGTGTGTATCCCAAAATGTAGCCCTATTCCTTACAGATAGATATCAATCAGCGGCCTGCTAACGTCAACAAGTCCTTCAGTTGCAGCACAAAAAGCATTCGTGTATTGTCCCTATAAGTAGTGGTTAATGTCAGTGCTCTCCAGTATAGAGAATGTCAGAGAAATTACATTATGTCCCACCATCCACATCTTCAGACACTTCAGGCACCTGAACTGTTAAATACTGCCTTCACAAGACAAACCCTGGACTCATCTGGAGTGTATTCACATCTTAATTCAACGTTCCACTTCAACCATGCTTCAGAGTCTCCTCTCTCTGATCTCCATATTTCTGTTCGTCCTGAATGTACACAAATATGGCCGGTTCCTTCAACGCCCTGATACACCAAGGAGGATGTGTTCAAAGACCCCCAGAAAGACAAAACCCTGACAGTTTTGGCCACATGCCGTATCAAATGTCACTAGTCCTCGCACCCAGAGCCAGATCTCCCAGCGTGGAAAAGAAATCCTCCATCTCCTTCTCCAGAAGCCGGTTGCGGTTCTCCGCGTCCTCCCGCGCTCGCTCTGAGTTTCGTAGTTTGATCTCCACCATGCGTTGCTTCTTCTTCTCCTGCTCCATCTCTTGTTCCAGACGCTCCATCTGCGCACACAAGGCAGCGCTGGACTCCTCCAGTCTGAAGGACGAGGCACATCAGAAACAGAAAGGTCATTGACAATCAGCTTTTCTGATATTGGCTTATTACAATATTCTTTGGTGGTATTTGGACACAACTAAAAGCTGCACTTTTCAATCGAAAATGTAACATCTAAGTTTTAAATAACAATCACATCAATTTGTATCTAGCTATTCATGTAGTTTCGCTTTCATGTTTTTCCTAGTTTTGGTATATATTAGTGAAAATTAGTTTGGGAAGCTACTGATTTAGCGCATGTCTTTTTAGGTCCTCCTGAAAACCCTTTTTTGTTTTGTTTAACATCACATTCAAGTAAATATCTTGAAGTTTTTGACTGACAAAACATGACATTTAAAGACATAACCTTGGACTTTGAGAAACTGTTCATTGCTGCCCTTATTGAGATGCACTATGGGAAATGTGGGGTCAAGTTAAGTGGGAATATTTTCAATGCCTATCCTCCTAAATGTATTCCTATAACATAACTCAATTACAGATAATGCTTAGCAACACATCCAACTTGAATCATGTGGGGTAAAAAAAGGGAGCTGATTGCTATTCTAGAGCAGAGTAGTTCCAAACCATGGACCAATTTTACTTATCATAAAATCAAATCTACCCCCATGTGACGAAGTTCAGGAACCCAAACTGACTTTTGGATCCTGCCCTCGTATAAGTCTTCTGTTTCCTCAGATCGTCACATAGAAATGCAACCATTTGTACGTTTTAAATAACACTCACCTCAGATCGTACCTAACCATTTAGGTCATTTTAGTTTACCTTTGCTACCTTAAAGGAAACTCATTTGTGAAGCTAACTTTGGGACTCTTTCTGGACCTGTCTTTTCAAGTCCTGTATTAAAGCGAACATTTTCTATTTTTGGCTGACAAAACCTTTAGACTTTAGAGACATAAGCTTGGACTTGGGATTCGACAGGGATGGATTTTTTTCGCTATATATAACATATGGTTAGTGTGTTCCACTATGATGCCCAAATGTACTTATCATAAGCAAATCTACCCCCATGTGACAAAGTTCAGGAACCCAGACTTACTTTTGGATCCTGCCCTCGTATCCCGTCTTCTGTTTCCTCAGCTCGTCCTTCAGTCCCTCCACCAGCCCGCTGAGACTCAGGTTCATCCCGTCCCCGTCCTCGGACATGATGATGGACGGCACCCCGCTGGCCATGGCCGTGTTCCCGTTCTCGCTGCAGGCTCCGCTGCTGCTGCAGAGCTCCATGGCCTCGCAGCTGTCCTGCTCCGAGCCCGGGTCCGTGGTCATCCCCCCCCCTCCGTCCATCTCCCTCTGGCTCTCCGCCCACTCCCCTTTGTCCTCCCCACCTTCTTCGCCCGCCACTCCGCAGTTGTTGTGGTTGGGCGAGGGCTCACTCCCCGAGTCTGGGACGGAGATCTCGCAGGAGGAGGAGGACCAGGGTGTGCTGGCGACACTGGGAACGCTGCCCGTGCTGGAGGAGGAGGTGACGTTGTCGTAGGTGGACAGTCTTTGAGAGGAGCCCGTGGAGTCTCGATCTCTGGCCGATCTTTCTCCTGAGGAGGTGCGCCGGTGTCCCCTTAAAGAGGACAAACCATTCATGAGCCAGTTACCTCCACCTCCTCCTCCTCCTCCTCCACCACCACCTCCTCCTCCTCCTCCAGTGGAAGTGACACTTGGATCCGCCACAGAGGGGACGGGTTGTTTGCCTTGCGGTTGGGAACGAGGCGCCGAGGAGCTTTTAAAAGAGTACTTCCAGGAGGGTATGTTCTTTCCCTGTTTGCTCGGGCTGACCACCAGCTCTCCTTTCCCTGACGGAGACCCCAGCTTTGGTCCAGGGTTCAGGTTGGGGGTCTGCGTGGGGGTGAAGGCTGCTGCACACAGTTTGGCGTCCAGCGACGAGGCACTGCTGTGCAGCTCCTGTTCGGGGGGGTTGGACACCGGGCAGGTCTGCAGGTCCTCCTCTGAGATCCAGGCCCCCAGGCTGCGGTGCTGCTGCCCCACGACAGGGAGCTCTGATTGGGGCACAGTGAGCACCTCGGGGTCCCTCCCTGAGTAAAAGCGGTTGTGCTCCCTGATGAGGATCGTCATCAGGTGCTGGACCATAGACGTGCCTACAGGTCGGACAGAGGATATCAGAAATGTACAGCGGCAATATTTCAGTTGATCCTGCAGCTACAACAAATGTAGGTTATATAGTTGCAACATGGCTTATAAAATATATCTCTGTTAGGCTATAACAGTAGATAATATAACAGTATTTTTAGGCAATGATGACAGTTTCATATCTTCTCAAAAACAACAACTTATTGGGATTTAACCATTTCATACACTCGTGAATTCTTTAGTAAAGTTATTTGTATTTTAAGAAACACAGCTCATATAAGACATTTAGGGTGCTCTTACTTTTGAAATTCCACGTGGAAATGTCCTGATATTGATAGGAAAGTTAGCTCATATATGCTAACAATACCTTAGTCTTGTTAGCAGTGAACGTGGTTCTTACCTTCCATGATGGTGAGCGGGTCCTCCATCTTGGGTCGGAGGATATTTGGTCCGAATACTGTGGCCAGGTTTTGGACCCCCATCTTGTTTTCACCGCAGTGAGACTGGACCTCATCGAGGAATCTGAGCAGAGAACGCCACAAGTTAAAAGATGGAAACAGACATTGTTCTAAAAAACTGACAACATTATGAGATAAAATACTTACTTGCATATGTACGTGAGGAGATTGTAGTTGGGTAGAGGTAGAGTGTTCACCTGTCTTCCCAGCTCCTGGACCCCCTGGGAGAAGATTGAACAATTGTCAGACACACACACACACACACGCACACACACACACACACACACCACACACACACACCAACACACAACATACACACAACACACACACACACACACACACACACACACACACACACACACACACACACACACACACACACACACACACACACACACACACACACACACACACACACACACACACACACACACACACACACACACACACACACACACACACACACAAGCACACACACACACACCACACACACACACACCACACACACACACACACACACACACACACACACACACCACACACACACACACACACACACACACAGGACTTACCTCCTCCTCATCTTTGGCCAGAAGCTGTGCACAGGTCAGAAAGTCTTCGTATTTGGAGAAGGGAATGACGGGTTCAGGCAGCTCTCGCAGGTACAGCTTCAGCAGCGACGCCACCGTGTGGACGTCTGTGTTACTGCGAATAATTATATAGAGAGAAAGGTGTTTACTTCTATCATTTGTGAAGGGGGATTTTTTTATTAAAAAACAAAAAAACACTGACATATTCAGAGTTATATTAAAGCTAATAGCAGTATACTCTTCTCTCTCTACCTGTCGAACAGAGGCTTGTCTCCGCAGTCGAAGGCCTCCTGCAGCTCCTTCACCAGGTTGGCCTGCCCTGGCATCCTGAACAGACCCTCCTCATCCAGACCCCTCTCCCTGATGAAGTCCACGCACTGCTCCACCAGCAGGGGGGCCAGCCGGGGGCCGAACTTCTTCTCATACTGCACCGTGTCCTCCAGACGCTGGCCAAATATCCCTGTGGACAGACGGAGGAAACTTGGAGCTTATTGTTTGGGCTTTAGGTCCGTCAGAGAGGAGGATACACTGGACGGTGAAGCTTACATCTAAAAGAGGAATCTCCAAATATGACTTGATATCTTTGACGTTTGCAGAGAAGAAGTACTCATATATTTTAGTTTAGTTAAAAGTACATTATTAGCATCAAATTATAATTTAAAAAAAGTAATTGACTAACTATGCATCAATTTATATTCCTCGAATTAACCTAAACTTTGCCTGTTTTAAAAAATATTTGTAGCTTTGTCCCTCACTTGAGACCATTTTGCTTTGTTGATGTCAAGTTATGATTTTGCCTCTGTTGGAGAAAATACAAGGTGTGACTTTGCAGCTGCCTCTTCGTAGATAGGAGAAGGCAGGGCATAATTCATGTTGTTGATACCAACGAGAGCACACACACTTTGTCTCCTCTCCTCTTTGAGGGGCAAAGGGCAACACTGCCTTTCCAGAGATGTCCCGACACCTTCCCGACACCTGATGACGCCAAACCGATTTACGACACTGTTTGGTACCTTCAGAGAGGAGGGTACACTGGACTGTTGTGAAGCTTTGAACAGAAAGAGGTATCCTAAAATCATACAGTAGTTTCTATTTTGGACGTATGCAGAAGTGGACGAAAACTCATATCTCTTTCTTTTAAGTAAGCAGAAAAGTATCATCATCAAAATTGAAAAGTTGAAAAGTACCAAAAGAAATATGACTTGTTATGCACAGCGACACATTTCGGAAAAAGATAAATGATATCGATTGATGGATTTTATATAAATGAATGCAAAAATGTCTTAATCACTTTGAAGATTATAAGGAAAGCCTCCTGTGGCTGAATCAGTTTACTTATATTATGTCAAAAAAAGTCCTAGTACAGTTATGTTGATAAAAGTCATATTATAGTATGTTGAACGATTGGGAAAAAAGTCTTATATTAGGCTTTTAATTGTACTTTCTACCGTTTTCAGATCAGATCAAGACATGTTTCATATCGAGCCATTTGCTCATATTTGCCCTTTGTGCAAATACAAGCTATTTTCCTGGTTTGCAACCACAGAAAAACATTTGGGATATTTTAGACAACACTGAAAAATAATCATGTTTGTCTAAGTTTGTCTTGTTTAAGTATATCAGAACAACCTTTTAAAAACTCAAGCAGAAGGGTTTAAAGATTAGAAAAATGTCTGCCTTCTTTATTCTAATTGTCTGCTGTCTGCTGATTGTTACCTGTGGTCAGGCTGCAGCAGTCGCAGCTGGCCGACAGCTCGCAGTAATCGTAATAAGTGACGGAGCAGGAGCTGCACAGCCTCTCGTTATACATCCCAAAGCCACATTTCACCAGGTTGATCCAGTCCGGCTCAGGCATTTGTCTCCACTGATGGATTAATCCCACATTTACCATACGCTACGATATTTACAAACTCCCGTACAGCGGCAGCGAGCTTCAGCTGAGGAAAGCGACTCAGAGGAAGCACAGCTGACGGGGGTCAGAGTGTGTGTTGCTGTTAACGACGGGCTATATGTTAGCGACACGTCTATTCTGGACCGAGAGCCGTGAGACAGACACACCCCACCCCGCCACCACCCCCTTTAATGTGACTGGAAATATGAGACCACCAGAGTGAGGTAACCCAGCGGATATCACCTTATATATATATATAAAACTGTGAAACACCTGAACTAAGACTGTGAAACACCTGAACTTTTGAAAGGACATCCATAACATTCATCTGTTTGCAACTTATATCAATATTCCAATTACTAGACTATTCTGCACCTTCTATTATATTATATTTTATTGTATTTACCTGTGCTATTTTATCCGTTTATTGTGTTGCATTGTTGGAGGAGCCTGAGACCTAAGATGTTCATTGTCATAACTACACTGTAGCTATGTACACATGACAATAAAAGCCTTGAACCCTTGATATATTGGTGTTTCTGACTGAAAGGAAAAGCCTCTTTCTGGCAGTAAGAGAACAAATCTGATGAACACTTTGCCCTTCTGGAAATAATCAAAAATAATGAGAAATGTTCCCTGAAATAATGACTTACTGTATGTAAATAATACAAGACTTGCTCTGAATAATTAATCAATAACTCAAAAATAATGAGAAGTGTATAAATAATGACTTTCATAGGTTATATATTTTCAAAGTCAATTTTTTTCTTAGATAGTAATTAATTATTTATAGAAGGTTTCTCATTATTTTGGGATAGTAGGTCATGACTTTGAGAAACGTAGATATAATACAATAATTATAGATTGAAGATGATTTCAAAAACCACATTTGATATATTTAGCGTTGTTTCTGTTTTATATAAAAGCCAGGGACTTCAAATGAATGCAGCATTGTATTTATACACTTTTTAGAAAATCATCTAACCATACATTGAATGTGCTTTAAAGGGGCTAACAAGCTCAAATGCAATAGCAGTGTAACAGTTAATAAATGCAACACATTGTAATATAAACATCCTGCTTATTTTTTATGAAAATACGACATATCGTAAGTGTACACCTTTTAAAGTAGAAGCATTTGTTTTATGTAATTGCTGTACATCACTCGGCAGAACGTAATACATGTTTTCAATCAAACAAATGAAATACAAATCATTAGCTCTAGTAGTTGGCAGCGCTGCCAACAGGGTTTGAACCTGTCAGATTAAAAGTGCAGATTTATATCCATACACTGCATCACTGCTCTGTTATCTCCATTTATCCCCCTATGAATATAGCGCTCCTTTGTAACCCGACCCCACGCTGTTCAGCTGCTCACGTCCCACTTCACACCCAGACAGCCTCGCTATATTTCTGGCCTCCCGTCAAGTACACTAGTTAGAGCGTCGGAGCAGACAGGGTGAGAACTAACCGCACACCCTGCTGCGAAGAGAGGGAATTATACTTTTAAACGAGGCAGGAAACCCTCCGTTTGATTCAAAAAGTGCATCCAGTGCATCGATGCTCTGCTGTGATCTATTACTCATTCAACTCAAATCAAACACGAAGCATCTACTTGGGAGTTTCTGTGAGTGATTGACAGCTAACTGTGATCACATTTCCCTCAGGTACACCAGGAATAGAGAGGGTGAGAATTAACTGCAGGCTGAAGACATGAGACACAGTAGGGAGGTGATACTCTGCAAGCGTGGGGTTAAGTTTGTAACTTATACACAGTGTAAAGGCACCAAAGTGTCATCTTTGAAAAGTGCCAGCAGGGTAGAAAGGAAATGAGGACTTCCTTTTTTAAGGGCTTTTTTTTGTTGCTATTAATTGGCATGTCAATATACTTTACAACTTCTGTTTTTCCCTTGAGTACTTTCCCACAGAAGGCCAATATGTCCTGGAAAAAAGCAACTTTTCTTTGTAAAAAAGTAATGTCGAAAATGCCAAAACAAATGTCAAAGTAAAGTACGCAAGAAATGTGATATTTTGAAAAAGTAATAGTGTAGTATGTAGGACACTTTCCTGCAGCGGTGGGACTGTAGCACCACGGCCCCTGGTAGACCACCACACCAGATGGGACATCAACACAGACTATTTACTGTTTTGCAATAAAAACTGATGTGCAATGTTTCATATTTTCCACTTTTTTCTAACTGGCTTCTACTGTTTTCATGCACTATTGTATCAACATATATTTTTACTTCTGGTTGCTTTTTCATTATTCATTCATTCAGATGTATGTGTTCACTATCTTGTATGAGGTTGCTATTTAATTAACCCTTAGCATAAGTGGGTCTTTTTTGACCCGGTGAGGTGGTTTTCTTGAAGTATCTTTGTAATTACATTTTTGTTATCATTTCATATTCCAGCTATTCCTCAAAAAACATGTTTTGGATATCATGCCATTCACATTTTAAATTGACATTTTATACATTTTAAGAAATTGTAGTTTTTGTATTTCTACCCCAAGCTTCCATAAGTGGGTCAAAAATGACCCGCATGCATTTCCTATGGGATCATATGGGAACCTTTGATTCTTATCACCTGTTGCTGTCAGGAATACATTCACTGTAGACCACACAGACGACAACACAAGTGACACCTCTCAGGAAGATTATTTTACACAGCAAGATCTGATACCTGTCAGTATAATAATAATAATAATACTACATTATATTTGTACAGTATAGGGCTTTTCAAAGACTCAAAATCGCTTTACAATATAAGGAAAGGTTAGGGTGGGGGGTATAGGACTATCAAACTTGATCAACCGGCATGGATTGATGGGGGGGGGGGGCTATGAGTAGACAAGAGGAGAAGAGATGAGTTTTGAAAAGGGACTGGAATACTGTGAGGGTCTCAGAATAGCGGAGATCTTTGCATCAATATGTTCAAAATGTTTTTTTTCAAAATGTAAAAAAAATGTCTAAAATTATAAATAGTGAAAAATTAAATATTAAATATTTCTAGTGTGAACCAAAATATAATACTAAATATTATACAAGTGATTTTTCTTAACCAAAATGACAAAAATGGCATAAAAACACATATTATTCTAATACGGGTCCTTTTTGACCCACTTGTGGAAGAGTGTAGGGTCCAGTCACCCTAAGGGCATCTAAGGGTTCTACCTTTGATGTGTTTTATTTTATTAACGTGCGCTTGCCTCTTATCATATCGAAAATATAATTGAAAAGCCATGCTACAGTCAATCTTAAAAAAGTCATAAAAAGTCATAGTCGAAAAATATCACAAAAATGGTCACAGTCCCGTTTGAGGTCAAAGACATTCAAGAATGTAAATGTGTGTTTGTAAAGCGATGTGTTTCTAGTGTCAGTCCAAAGCTCTGCTCTACCTCCTCCAAACGGCGCCCAGATGACGCGTCGGATGGCCTTCACCCAGTCGTCCATGTCAGTCTGAGAGTTGGCCATCAGCAGGAAGGACTCATGGCTGACGGGGGTCCGCTCCTTCTCTCCCGTTCCTCCTGCAGGGACACGTTAGATTCGATTAGATTTAATAGGGGGAAATTCATTTTCACACAGACAACAACAGATGGTGACACACATGGCAGTTACATTTCGCTAGTAGTTAAGGCAGAAATGGCTTTCTGATCCAAGCTTTCTGATCCAAGCTTTCTGATCCACATGAAGGGGAGGAAGAGAGCAGGGATTTACAGAACAGTGGCTTTTATCCTGAAACTAACCCAGTGGTATTTTGACTAATAGACGAATGAGAATTCTGAACCGAACGCAAGAGTCTCTGTTTCTGTTTGTCACAATCACAATCCTGCAGTCACATGAAAACAGGGGCAGATTGTTTTTTTAAAAGACACATATTGAGGGTTTCAAACATCTAGAATACCCTAAAACTAAAACAAGTGTGGACGTAGCTAGGGATGTCCCGATCAGGTTTTTTTGCTCCCGATCCGATTCCGATCATTTGATTTTGACAATCTGCCGATACCGATTTTTCCCGATCCGATCTTTATGCAATGCATTAAGAGAAAAAAAAGGTAACAGATCACGGCTGGTCATCCAACGCGATGAATTCAGCTATCTTGGCTGTTATTCTTTTGGCCTTTTCACTGTTCTGGGGCAGTTTCTCTTTCCTTTTAAAAGTCTCTGAAAGTGTCGGTTGTTTCAGTGCCGTTACCTGAGTGGCCGCTGTGTACTCGTCGTGTTGTTGGTGGTGTTTGTATTAGATTGGTCGTGTTGAACGTAGCTCTGTTCTTTCCACCACGCGGAACCTCCGCCTTGCAAACATTGCATCTGGCTGTTACACTGCCTTCGCTTTCAATTTTATAATACTTCCAAACTCCTGACATTTATGACTTTAAGACATGAACATGGTCATTTTTGTTTTGTAACATTAAATAAAATAATAAAAATATTTTATAAAAAAAAAAAAAAAATTCCCGATCCCCGATTTTTTTCTCCCGATTCCGATCTTTTGAAAATCACGTGATCGGCTCCAATCCCCGATCACGTGATCGGATCGGGACATCTCTAGACGTAGCAATAGTGTAGCCAAAAAGTAGATTTTTCAATGTCTACTAGTGCACGAATGATAAGAAATATAATGTTGTACTAATTTAAATATCACTATCAAACTTCTCCGGTTGAATACTTTACTTACATGTTATATTTTGACTGGGTTTACATCAAACTAACCAACATGACACTCCAAAATATTGGCATTTGGGGTTCAGTATCTTGAAAGACGAGGGCTTGAACCGACAACCTTCAGATATATAGATCAGAATCAGATTCAGAATCAGAATACCTTTATTTGGGGACATTTGCATTTGTTACAGCAAGAAAAGAGCAAAAGACAGCTTAATATGAACCAAGAAGCACGCATACAAAATTAAACGCTCTGAGCCGTGACCACATTGCGCCATATTAGTCCTGATTCAATATGAAAATGATGCATTATCTAGCAAGAAATCTACAGATACAAGAGACAAGGTTAGTCAAATAAACACCTAATTGTGTATTTTCGATGTTCCAATACTTGAAAGAAGATTAGCAAAATAGCCAAATGTCTCAAAACTGAAGAGTGCATTAAAACAATGCAATGTTTACGTTTTTAAAAAATCAGAAAGACTGACTGTTTATTAGTTATCTTTGAACAAAACAGGGAATCAAGTGGGTTTCACATCGATTCAAACCAGTGTGCTATGAACACTTCTCACCACTAGATGGCACACATGTCTCATTCTCTATTTCTGAACTCCTTCGTCCTGTAAATATGGCCGCAGTTCATATTTCATTTAAGGCATTTACCCGGCGATCGAGAGCTGCTTTTACTTAGTACCGAGGTAGTTTTTATTAGTTGAACCTCATAACCATAAGTGAGGCACGCAGAGATCACAGCTGCTTCACAACATGAAACACAAGTGAGAAACACGATCAGCTGCTGCGTAAAAACACACATTAACACCAGGCTGCACATATATCTAATAATCCTCACCGCGACACATTTATCCATTTCCTCCTGTCGCACATTTAAATAACCCGCAGAATATGTCATCTGTTCCCCGTGTGTGTGAGGCTCTGTGAGCCATTAGTGTCGGGGGTGTTGTTTCCAGTCATTTAGCTGCGAGGGGGGGAACCCAAATATAATCAGCAGTGCCATAAAGCTAAGAGCCATTGTCACCCAGCTTTGCAAACTCACACCGTCATGATGAACAACACTGAGGTCTGTGTACAGATGTGGCTCCAGGGGTCGTGGAGTACTAAACTGAGGATTTCAGTTGATATGTCGCCCTCATTCACGCATAGTGTGTGTTATGTATGAATATGAGCAAAATGAGTGCTGCAATTGGCCCTCAGGAGAAGAAGCCAATTAAAAATACAGAGAGGACACTCAGACATTATCTAATACTTCCTCTTCAATGAATCAGGTCCTGATAAAACACACACACGCACGCACACACGCACACACACACAGACAGAGAGAGAGACACACACACACACACACACACACACACACACACACACACACACACACACACACACACACACACACACACACACATTTACACACATTACATATCTAATACTTCCTCTTCAATGATGCAGGTCCTGATCACTCACACACACACACACACACACACACACACACACACACACACACACACACACACACACACACGTATACATCACCTCAGGAGATATTACATTGACTTACATGCATTTCCTGGAGACTTATCCTAACCATAACACACACACACACACACACACACACACACACACACACACACACACACACACACACACACACACACACACACCACACACACACACACACACACACACACACACACACACACACACACACACACACACACACACACACACACACACACACACACACACACACACATTTAAAACTTCCCAGACTAAATAATGACGAGTACAAAGATCCTTTTTGAAAGCAATTAAGATCAAACTGACTGCAAGAAAGCGTTTCCTCTCCAAGTCATTTTAAATTCAACATTGCGATCATCAGACACAGGATGACATTTGAGTCGACAGAAATGTGAATGTTTACAGAGTGTGTGTGTAAAGCTCATAGCTTTTGAGTGTCTGACATTTAAGAACTGAAGCTATAACTCTTCAAAGCTTCAGTTTCTAAATGTCAGACTGAAGGCAGGTACGCAGTTGTTTGTGAGAGGAGAGTAGAAAGGGAACTCTTACAGTGCTGAAACGTCTTCCTATGTCATGGTGTGAGATTGTTAATCTTTCAATATGGGGACGAAGATAGCTGTACTCAACATGAGGAGAGAGTCAGGTAAACATGTTGGATCATCTTTAGGTTTGAAACATCTTCTCAAAGGGTCAGTGTGGGTCATTTCCCACGTTGTAGTGTTGTTATCAAGCTGGTTTGAATGCTATATTTGGGTTGAAACCCCTATTTTTTTGTAGATAGAAACATTATTATATAGCTATTGATTGCAAAATACAATGTGTGCCAAAAGGAAGTTACTCATGGATACTCACTTTAGTCAATGCAGAAATATTAAAAAGCCCAAGCAAAAACACAACAGATGGGAATTTGGGGTTCAGTATCTTGAAAGACAACCAACTTTGAGCTTGATTGTCTTTGACACAACTAGCTCCCACCAACATTATGGGTGTTTCTCAATGTCGAGGAAGGCTGCTCCAGAGCCACTATTTCAAGCATGCTACGTCATCGAGTGCCGCCGAAGGACTGTTCCAATCTCCAGCATACTTGGAATTCTACCGAGCCCGGCGTACTTCGTAGCGAGAAATTTCGAGGCTGCACATGTGTAGACTCCGCGGTCTTAAAATCCCCACAATGCTTTGCGCACGGACCAATTTCCCCAAATCTGTGGCGGAAAATGTAAGGCGGGGCCTCTCATATGACGCACACCTGCACACTTGCTCGCCTGTTCCACTCTTCGTTTTCCGAATGCCAGGAAGGATTCTTGCCTCGCTTCTGGAGCAAGTGACTCGGAAGACATGTGCTACCAAGCGTACTACTCGACATTGAGAAACACCCTATATCTACTGCTAGAGTGAAACACAGCACAGCAGAGACACTGAACCAGACAATAGGTAACTGTGAGCAGCTGACCTGTCATAACAACTACAGTAACTGCCAAGAAAAAGTCATTATTAGCTGCTTAAAACATATCTGTAAGTCACCAGATGTTATTACCAGTGGCGACTGGTCATTAGGGGCAGGTGGGGCACAGCCCCACCTAGTGTCAGCAGAAAGTATTACAAATAATGATTACAAAAATGCAAAAAAATAAATAAAAAAATATATAAAATATATTTTAAGATCATGTTTAATCATCTGATTCGTCTGTACATTGCTGTTTTAGTCTGTGTTCTTCTAATTAGTGTGTCTACAGTCACAGTGTGTGCCTATTGAGCTGTTTAGAGCCATGTGGGACAAAACCTGATTATGCCCCTTCCTCTCGCTGTGAAGTCAACGGTGACTGTAAAAACTTCACTGCGCATGCTCAGAGTATTTTGTAATGTAATGTGTGTGGCAAAAAAATAATGACCAGAGGGGCACGGAGCTACCATCCCCACCATACGTCATCTCAAATCATTCAGAGCTGATTGGCTGTAAGTACGTGTGCCGCGAAAAGTGTGGTGCTTGAAGAGGAGACGAGAGAGCTGCAGTGACGCGTCCTAAAACCAGGAAGTAAGCACAAAAAAGCAATGAGATTTCTCCAGAGGATTTTAGAAAATAGCTCGAAATAAGATCTGTGGGAAACGTACCTGTTAGATAAATGCACGTTTTGATTAGCCGGATAACATCCACATGTCTACCCTACTTTTATAATTTTTTTATCATAAATCTATGGATTAGATTTATGATAGACTTTTGAAACTACAAGAACATAAGGAGGACTTTTACAAAAAAGTAATAGAAATGTTTGTCCAGAAGGATAGGAAAATGGAGTTCATCTTCAAGTCAAGGTAAGACCGCCATTTTATTGAA